CTCACCCTATTCGCCACTCGACCTGTCTGTCTCCGAAATACATTGTGTGATTGGTTATTCACAGTAGTGATCCGCCTGGAGAAAATCCCATAGTGATACATCTCACTCATATATCAGAGAACTGGGGTTACGAAAGTAACCTTCAGTTTCCTTCATGTGGAACTAATGAATGAGTTCCAGGACAGACCATTAGCTGTAGCTTCACTTGCATACAATACGAGGAAGCTACAGTATAGCTGGCGGGTCACATGGCAAAACATAATATACAGTGCCTTTGGAAAGTATTCAGACCACTTTACTTTTTCCTCATTTTGTTATGTTACAGCCTCATTCTAAAATGGATTAAATTAATTATTTCCATCATCAATCTACACACAATACACCATAATGACGAAGCAAAAACAGGTTTGTAGAAATGTGTGCAAATGTATACAAAATAATTAACAGAAATACCTTATTTACATAAGTATTCAGACCCTTTGCTATGAGACTCGAAATTGAGCTCAGGTGCATCCTGTTTCCATTGATAATCCTTAAGATGTTTGTACAACTTGATTGGAGTCCACCTGTGGTAAATTCAATTGTTTGGACATGATTTGGAAAGGCACACACCTGTTTATATAAGGTCCCACAGTTCACAGTGCATGTCAGAGCAAAAAACAAGCCATGAGGTCGAAGGAATTGTCCATAGAGCTCCGAGACAGGATTGTGTCGAGGCACAGATCTGGGGAAGGGTACCTCCATCAATCTTAAATGGAAGAAGTTTGGAACCACCAAGATTATGGGAGAGTGGCCAGACGGAAGCCACTCCTCAGTAAAAGGCCAAAAGGCACCTAAAGGACTCTCAGACCATGAGAAACAAGATTCTCTGGTCTGATGAAACCAAGATTGAACTCTTTGGCCTGAATGCCAAGCGTCACATCTGGAGGAAGCATGGCACCATCCCTACGGTGAAGTATGGTGGTGGCAGCATCCTGCTGCGTGGATGTTTTTCAGCGGCAAGGACTGGGAGACTAGTCAGGATCGAGGCAAAGATGAACGGAGCAAAGTACAGAGAGATCCTTGATGAAAACCTGCTCCAGAGTTCTCAGGAACTCAGACTGGGGTGAAGGTTCACCTTCCAACAGGACAACGACCCTAAGCACACATTCAAGACAACGCAGGAGTGGTTTCGGGACAAGTCTCTGAATGTCCTTGAGTGACCCAGCCAGAGCCCGGACTTGAACCCAATCTAACATCTCTGGAGAGACCTGAAAATAGCTGTGCAGCGACGCTCCCCATCCAACCTGACAGCGCTTGAGAGGATCTGCAGAGAAGAATGGGAGAAACTCCCCAAATAAAGGTGTGTCAAGCTTGTAGCGTCATACCCAAGAAGACTTGAGGCTGTAATTGCTGCCAAAGGTGCTTTTTTTTGTTGGGGTTACTACATGAATGAGTAGGTGTGTCCAAACATTTGGCTGGTAGTGTATGTAAATGTGATATTTCAGCTTTATATTTTTTATAAATTTGCAAAAAAATCTAAACCTTTTTTGCTTTGTCATAATGGGATATTGTGTGTAGATTGATCAAATCAAATCAAATCAAATGTTATTGGTCACATGCGCCGAATACAACAGGTTCAGACATTACAGTGAAATGCTTACTTACAGCCCTTAACCAACAGTGCATTTATTATTAACAAAAAAAGTAAAAATCAACAACAACAAAAAAAAATGTTGAGAAAAAAAAGAGCAGAAGTAAAATAAAGTGACAGTAGGGAGGCTATATATACAGGGGGGTACCGTTGCAGAGTCAATGTGCGGGGGCACCGGCTAGTTGAGGTAGTTGAGGTAATATGTACATGTGGGTAGAGTTAAAGTGACTATGCATCAATAATTAACAGAGTAGCAGCAGCGTAAAAAGGATGGGGTGGGGGGGCAGTGCAAATAGTCCGGGTAGCCATGGTTAGCTGTTCAGGAGTCTTATGGCTTGGGGGTAGAAGCTGTTGAGAAGTCTTTTGGACCTAGACTTGGCACTCCGGTACCGCTTGCCGTGCGGTAGCAGAGAGAACAGTCTATGACTAGGGTGGCTGGAGTCTTTTACAATTTTGAGGGCCTTCCTCTGACACCGCCTGGTATAGAGGTCCTGGATGGCAGGAAGCTTTGCCCCAGTGATGTACTGGGCCGTACGCACTACCCTCTGTAGTGCCTTGCGGTCGGAGGCCAAGCAGTTGCCATACCAGGCGGTGATGCAACCAGTCAGGATGCTCTCGATGGTGCAGCTGTAGAATTTTTTGAGGATCTGAGGACCCATGCCAAATCTTTTCAGTCTCCTGAGGGGGAATTGGCTTTGTCGTGCCCTCTTCACGACTGTCTTGGTGTGTTTGGACCATGATAGTTCATTGGTGATGTGGACACCAAGGAACTTGAAGCTCTCAACCTGTTCCACTACAGCCCCGTCGATGAGAATGGGGGCGTGCTCAGTCCTCTTTTTTTTCCTGTAGTCCACAATCATCTCCTTTGTCTTGGTCACGTTGAGGGAGAGGTTGTTGTCCTGGCACCACACGGCCAGATCTCTGACCTCCTCCCTATAGGCTGTCTCATCGTTGTCGGTGATCAGGCCTACCACTGTTGTGTCGTCGGCAAACTTAATGATGGTGTTGGAGTCGTGCCTTGGCATGCAGTCATGGGTGAACAGAGAGTACAGGAGGGGACTGAGCACGCACCCCTGAGGGGCCCCCGTGTTGAGGATCAGTGTGGCAGATGTGTTGTTACCTACCCTTACCACCTGGGGGCGGCCCGTCAGGAAGTCCAGGATCCAGTTGCAGAGGGAGGTGTTTAGTCCCAGGATCCTTAGCTTAGTGATGAGCTTAGAGGGCACTATGGTGTTGAATGCTGAGCTGTAGTCAATGAATAGCATTCTCACGTAGGTGTTCCTCTTGTCCAGGTGGGAAAGGGCAGGTTATCTTAGAGTCCTTGGGCACGGGGACTATGGTGGTCTGCTTGAAACATGTTGGTATTACAGACTCAGTCAGGGACATGTTGAAAATTTCAGTGAAGACACTTGCCAGTTGGTCAGCACATGCTCGGAGTACACGTCCTGGTAATCCGTCTGGCCCTGCGGCCTTGTGAATGTTGACCTGCTTAAAAGTCTTACTCACATCGGCTACGGAGAGCGTGATCACATAGTCATCCGGAACAGCTGGTGCTCTCATGCATGCTTCAGTGTTGCTTGCCTCGAAGCGAGCATAGAAGTGGTTTAGCTCGTCTGGTAGGCTTGTGTCACTGGGCAGCTCGCGGCTGTGCTTCCCTTTGTAGTCTGTAATAGTTTTCAAGCCCTGCCACATCCGACGAGCGTCAGAGCCAGTGTAGTACGATTCAATCTTAGTCCTGTATTGACTCTTTGCCTGTTTGATGGTTCGTCGGAGGTCATAGCAGGATTTCTTATAAGCGTCCGGGTTAGAGTCCCGTTCCTTGAAAGCGGCAGCTCTACCCTTTAGCTCAGTGCGGATGTTTCCTGTAATCCATGGCTTCTGGTTGGGGTATGTACGTACGGTCACTGTGGGGACGACATCATCGATGCACTTATTGATGAAGCCAGTGACTGATGTGGTGTACTCCTCAATGCTGTCTGAAGAATCCCGGAACATGTTCCAGTCTGTGCTAGCAAAACAGTCCTGTAGCTTAGCATCTGCGTCATCTGACCACTTTTTTATTAACCGAGTCACTGGTGCTTCCTGCTTTAGTTTTTGCTTATAAGCAGGAATCAGGAGGATAGAGTTATGGTCAGATTTGCCAAATGGAGGGCGAGGGAGAGCTTTGTATGCGTCTCTGTGTGTGGAGTAAATGTGGTCTAGAGTTTTTTTTCCTCTGGTTGCGCATTTAACATGCTGGTAGAAATTAGGTCGAACGGATTTAAGTTTCCCTGCATTAAAGTCCCCGGCCACTAGGAGCGCTGCATCTGGATGAGCGTTTTCCTGTTGATTAATGGCCTTGTACAACTCATTCAGTGCAATCTTAATGCCAGCATTGGTTTGTGGTGGTAAATAGACAGCTATGAAAAATATAGATGAAAACTCTCTTGGTAAATAGTGTGGTCTACAGCTTATCATAAGATACTCTACCTCAGGCGAGCAAAACCTCGAGACTTCCTTAGTATTTCATTTTGTGCACCAGCTGTTGTTTACAAATATACACAGACCGCCACCCCTTGTCTTACCGGAGTCAGCCTTTCTATCCTGCCGATGTAGCGTATAGCCCGCTAGCTGAATGTTATCATTGTCGTCGTTCAGCCACGACTCGGTGAAACATAAGATATTACAGTTTTTAATGTCCCGTTGGTAGGATAACCGTAATCTTAAGTCATCCAATTTATTTTCAAATGATTGAACGTTGGCTAATAGGATTGATGGAAGAGGCAGTTTACTCGCTCGCCGTCGGATCCTTACAAGGCACCCCGATCTACGTCCACGATATCTCAGTCTCTTCCTCACGCGAATGACGGGGATTTGGGCCTTGTCGGGTGTCTGTATGATATCCTTCGCGGCCGCCTCGTTGAAGAAAAAATCTTCGTCCAATACGAGGTGAGTAATCGCTGTCCTGATATCCAGAAGCTCTTTTTGGTTATAAGAGACGATGGCAGAAACATTATGTACAAAATAAATTACAAATAACGCGGAAAAACACACATAATAGTACAATTGGTTAGAGGGCTGTAAAACGGCAGCCATCTTCTCCGGCGCTGTTCTTTAAGATGAGAATAATAATACTTTTTTTTAACATCCATTTTAGAATAAGGCTGTAACAAAATGTGGACAAGTCAAGGGGTCTAAATACTTTCCGAATGCACTGTAAATAGAACATTAAGATCACAGTGATGGGATATGACTGAAGGGGGAAGGATTCCCATGAATTCAGCTTACAGTTTACATCAGTAACAATGTAATAAACCAGTTTAAAAGGGATTTTTTTGTTCTTGTCACCATACAAAGGGTATTATAATATGGTAAGACAGCATATTTATTTTATTTTATTGCAGTTCAACAAGGACGATACAATGGCATTAGCCCATGACAACCCTGTAGCTTTCTCTTTGTCATTATGGAACACTATGGTCTTACCCTGTGGAGGCTTGTCCAGAGTGTAGGACAGGTTGAGTTGGTCAGAATGACTCTTCAGCACCTCTTCTAGTTCATCCCGCAGTAGGATATCCTTCTCAGTCTGGGGGAGAATCATCATTAGATCAAGGTTTACAGGTGTTACATATGCTACAATAAGTCATTGAGTTTTGTTAGATCATTCTAAAGGTGACATTGATCTTGGTTTTCTATCATCAGATGATTTTCATTGAAGTTGTATTCATAACAAGCTTTGTGCCCACTTTATTGATAATCCACCATGACGGTTGATAGTGTGTGGGATATGACTCAGGTTCTTCCTCAGATTTGGACAAGAATCCACTCTTCCCTGTGCACTGGTGCGACTGACCTGGTTAGCGAATATGAGGGAGCACTTGGTGTCGTCTGAAGGGTCTGCTGTAATACTGCGAATCAGCTGCAGCATGGGGGTAATCCCTGAAAAAGCACCAAGAAATGTATGCCAATTTACAATTTTTCAGCTCTGCTTCACAGAACACATTAATTATGCTGAAACAGTTACACAAATCATGTTTTCCTCAGGAAGAAAAAGACGTCTCATCCCGAAGGATTTATGTTACCCACATATTTCTAAATAAATACATGACACATACATTTCAAAGGCATGAGGTCCATACCTGTTCCACCAGCGATCATTCCCACATGTTTAAACTTGCAGATCTTGGCCTCAGACTTCCTATCAGGTCGAATTGCAAATTTGCCTTAAAATGAGGAGAAATCTTAAAAAAATTAAGTAAATTGAGAAAGGGCTGGTGCATTGTAATACATTGCCCTCTATTGGTCACAAAATGATAATGTCATGATGAAACAGCATAGTATATATCACACGCACACACAGACACACACACACACACACACACCATTTCCTGTGTATACAAGCAGTCCATTGGGTCCTCTGAAGTCTATTTTGTCTCCAATGCTCATGGCATCCAGGTACTGAGACATCTTGCCTCCGTCAGGATAGTTAGGATGAGTGTTTTTGTAGTACACCTTGGAAAACATGGGACACAAGTTAAGATCAATGTCAAATTATGAATCGTCTTACAAGTCATTAAACTGATTGAAATGCAATTCTAACCATTCATACACATCCATCTTTATGGTGTCAGATCCTTGCTGTTATATTGTAACTTGTCTGAACAAACTCAAATGATCTGTTTGAGAGGGCTGATGAATAAGAGTACCTTGACCACCAGGTCCACGAAGCCCTGGTCCTCATCACTGGAGACAGGAGTGTAGGCCCGGATCACCAGGCTCCCATTCACCTTAGCTGACAGGTACACATGCTGTCCTGGGTGGGCGGAAAGGGTACATGAGGTGAAAGGGGCAGAAGAGTGATAGTACTATCTTCACAGTCAGGCCTGATATGCCCAGATAAGCAGGTCTCTGGTCTGATAGGATACCGGTGCTGTTGCACTGCCTGATGAATGAGATGGGTATGTAGTGTTGCATCAGTACCTACTGGCAGTCCAAGGACATGTGTGGGAGAGGGAAGGCCAAAGCGAAAGCGCTTTGTATCATGGCTTATATCCTGCACAGAAACAGAGTTGCAAAATGGGAATACTGTAACTTTTCAGCCATTCAAATATCTTTGTGGGTGGGAATATCCTGCATTTGAATATCACTGGCAGACCAAGGTAATAGTATCTTAAAGTTAAACTTGAACTATTATTTAAATCAATCAATTATTTGTGACAATCCTAAAGTTTCTATGTCAGAATCAGAATGATCAGAATGATTTCCTTGCAGGTATAGGAACATACTAACTCTAAAACAAGTAGAGAAAGACATGCATAGAAAGACATGTAACTCTAGACGTACCTCTTTCTCTATGAGTGGCAGTGGATATTTAACTGTAGAATCTTGTAGTGTCTGTGGAAGCTTCTTCTTCTTCTTCTCACCACCTCGGAGGAGGAAGTAGAGCCCAGAGAGGACCACCACAGACGTTCCGACCACAACAGGTACTGTCTGCCAATCAAAACCATGGACAACCATGAATACAGACACGGTGGAAAACACAGTGGACTGACAGATTCACAGAATGTCACCTTTTATTTGAGGGTATTTTTTTTATCTACACTTCTACATTAATGTGGATGCTACTATTATTACAGATAATTGTGGTTGAATCATGAATAATGATGAACGAGAAAGTTACAGAGGCATAAATATCATACCCCCCCACAAAAATGCTAACCTCCCCTGATATTGGTAATTGTGATAGGGTAGCATGCTTTGGGGGTATGATCTTTGTGCATCTGTAACTTTCTCACTCATCATTATTCACTATTCATTCATGATTAGTCATAATCATGGTAGCATCCACATTAATGTAGAAGTGTTCAGAAACATATTATGTTCTTATTTACATTAAAATTGACTCTAAAATGACACTATACATTTTTCACCATTCATTTCTATTGGGCACAACATAATCCGAAGCACAACCAAAACAAACTGCAAATGTGTCCAACAAGTTTGTAGAGTCACAAGCCTGATGTAGTCATTGCATACTAGGAATATGGGACAAAATAAGAAACGTTTGACTACATTGAAAACACTATAAGTGAATTTGTCCAAATACTTATGAAACCTTCAAATGGGGGGACTAGATACATAAAGTGCATTCATTTCTAAACGGTAAAACAGATATGTATGAAAATACCCTCGAATAAAAGGTGACATTCTGTGCTGTCGCCTCATATAAAACATTTGATCTCAAATCCGAAATTCTGGAGTATAGAGCCAAAATAAACATTTTAGCTTCACTGTCCAAAAAATACGGAGGGGAGTGTATGTGGCCAATAGGAAGAAAAGAAAAAAGTGACAAAGTAAAGAGTAAAGGCTCATTCTTACCAGACTCTCCATGACGTGTGAGTGTGTGTCAGGTGTGTTGCTCTCTGTCTGCCTCTGCAGTGTGGTTGGTGTGATCAGTATCCAGGCAGTGAGTTTGGGCTGAGCTAGGCTCTGGCCCTGGAGTCAGACCTTTGCACCAAGGACACCTAGGGGAGGGGGAGCCAGCTGGAGGAAAGGTAATAGAGGGCTGACGGACCAATAGGAGAGAAGAAATCACTATAACAGAGCCATGACAAGGCACAGCTGAGTAATCCATACATGTAGAGGTGAATGGTCCAAAATCACGCCACTCTCAGATCACTCAGGGATTGGGGCACTGGTTTAGAAAGAAATGTGTGTGTGTGTGTGTCTGTGTGTGTGTGTGTGTGTGTGTGTGTGTGTGTGTATGGTCTAATCAATTAAAATATCTCCAGGCAAGTTTATGACACTATAGCATGCTTAGGCTTATGACTTCTGGACTGTTGAACTAGATTCATGCAATTTGGTATACAGTGCATTCGGAAAGTATTCAGACCCCTTGACTTTTTCCACATTTTGTTATGTTACAGCCTTATTCTAAAATTGATTAAATAATTTTTTTTCCCCTCATCAATCTACACACAATACCCCGTAACGACAAAGCGTAAACATGTATTAAAAGTAAAAAAACAGAAATACCTTATTTACATAAGTACTCAGACCCTTTGCTCTGAGACTTGAAATTGAGCTCAGGTGCCTCCTGTTTCCACTGATCATCCTTGAGATGTTTCTACAACTTAATTGGAGTCCACCTGTGGTAAATTTAATTGATTGGACATGATTTGGAAAGGCACACACCTGTCTATATAAGGGCCCACAGTTCACAGTGCATGTCAGAGCAAAAACCAAGCCATGAGGTCGAAGGAATTGTCTGTAGAGCTCCGAGACAGGATTGTGCCGAGGCACAGATCTGGGGGAGGGTACTAAAACATTTCTGCAGCATTGAAGGTCCCCAAGAACACAGTGGAATCCATCATTCTTAAATGGAAGAAGTTTGGAACCACCAAGACTCTTCCTAGAGCTGGCCGAACAGCCAAACTGAGCAATCGGGGGAGAAGGTCAGGGAGGTGACCAAGAACCCGATGATCACTCTGACAGAGCTCTAGAGTTCCTCTGTGGAGATGGGAGAACCTTCCAGAAGGACAACCATCTCTGCAGCACTCCACCAATCAGGCCTTTATGGTAGAGTGGCCAGACGGAAGCCACTCCTCAGTAAAAGGCCAAAAGGCACCTAAAGGACTCTCAGACCATGAGAAACAAGATTCTCTGGTCTGATGAAACCAAGATTGAACTCTTTGGCCTGAATGCCAAGCGTCACATCTGGAGGAAGCCTGGCACCATCCCTACGGTGAAGTATGGTGGTGGCAGCATCATGCAGTGGGGATGTTTTTCAGCAGCAGGGACTGGGAGACTAGTCAGGATAGAGGGAAAGCTGAACGGAGCAAAGTACAGAGATCCTTGATGAACACCTGCTCCAGAGCGTTCAGGACCTCAGACTGGGACGAAGGTTCACCTTTCATCAGGACAACGACCCTAAACACACAGCCAAGACAACGCAGGAGTGGCATTGGGACAAGTCTCTGAATGTCCTTGAGTGGCCCAGCCAGAGCCCGGACTTGAACCTGATCGAATATCTCTGGAGAGACCTGAAAATAGCTGTGCAGCGACGCTCCCCTTCCAACCTGATAGAGCTTGAGAGGATCTGCAGAAGAATGGGAGAAACTCCCCAAATACAGGTCTGCCAAGCTTGTAGCATCATACCCAAGAAGACTCAAGGCTGTAATCACTGCCAAAGGTGCTTCAACAAAGTACTGAGTAAAGGGTCTGAATACTTATATAAATGTAATATTTCAATAAATGTGCCAAAAAATATTACAACTTGTTTTTGCTTTGTCATTATGGGATATTGTGTGTAGATTGATGAGGGGAAAAAACAATTTAATCAATTTTAGAATAAGGCTATATAACATAACAAAATGTGGAAAAAGTCAAGGGGTCTGAATACTTTCCGAATGCACTGTATATGATGTAAATAAGGACAGTAGTCTATTTGTATTTTAGTATTTTATTAGGGATCCCCTTCTCTTCCTGGGGTCCAAACACATTAAGGCACATCACATAAAAAACTAACAAAAAAAGAAAACAGTACATCATATAACATAACTACACCACTACATATCCACAACACATAATGTACAGTATAAACCAGGTGCTTCGAGCCCTGAATGCTGATTGGCTGACAGACCGTATACCACGGGTATGACAAAACATTTATTTTTACTGCTCTACTTACGTTGGTAACCAGTTCATAATAGAAATAAGGGGTTTGTGGTATATGGCCAATATACCACAGCTAAAGGCTGTATTGAACAGTCCTTATCCGTGGTATATTGGCCATATACCATACCTCCTCGGGTCTTATTGCTTAAATATCCCCATACAACAATACCACAGTGTACGTGTGTGTAGAGTGTGTGTGTGCTAGCGTGTTTGTGCACCTGTGTGTGTGTCTCTTCACAGTCTGCATTGTTCCATAAGGTGTAGTTTTATCAAATTTTTTTCAATCTGATTTTACTGCTTGCATGAGTTACTTGAAGTGGAATAGAGTTCCATGTAGTCATGGCTCTGTGTAGTACTGTGTGTTTCCAGGAGTCTGTTCTGGACTTGAGGACTGTGAAGAGACCCCTGGTGGCATGTCTTGTGGGGCATGCATGGGTGTCTGAGCTGTGTGGTAGTCGTTTGAACAGACATCTCGGTGCTTTCAACATGTCAATCCCTCTCACAAAGACCAGTAGTGATGCAGTCAATCTCTCCTCTGCTTTGAGCCAGGAGAAATTCACATGCATGTCATTGATGTTAGCTCTCCGTGTATATTTAAGGGCCAGCCGTGCTGCTCTGTTCTGGTCCAACTGTAATTTGCCTATGTCCCTCTTTGTGACAATTGACCATATGACTGGGCAGTAGTCCAGGTGCAACAAAACTAGGGCCTGTAGGACTTGTTTGAAATGGTTGAAATGACGTGGAAACGTTGTCGATTCAATCAGTTTTTGCCCAATCGGACACTTCATTTGCTCACACACACATAACACGCACACACATTCATACTTTTCTCTACCCACGCACGCACACACACTCACATACAATCATCATATATGCTGTTGCTACTCTGTTTATCATATATTCTGATGCCTAGTCATCTTACCCCTATACATATCTACCACACCACTCCAGTATCCCTGCACATTGTAAATATGGTATTGGCACTGACCCTGTGTATAGTTTACTTACCTTTTCATGTTCTTCTCATTTCTATTTCTCGTGTGTTTTTGTTCAACTTTACTTTACTTTATAGTACTAATGATATTGATTACTGCATTGTTGGGAAAGACCTTGCAAGAAAGGCATTTCACTGTACTTGTGCACGTGACAATAAAACTTCAAACTTGAACTGTAAGAATGTGAAAAGATTCACACAGTACTTGAGTTAACCCGACAGAGGCGGTTGTGTTTTTGAGTCTTTCCCATCTCAGGACAAAGAAAGCAGAACTGTCTGAGTGTCATTAGCCAGATGATGTAAAGGCATGAAGAACTGCTTTCAAGACAGGAGAGTTTGTGAAGCAGCACCAAAGATCCACATGACATCCCTTCCTTACCATGGAGTTGTTCCTGGATCCAGTCTCTGAGCATGGGGACTGAGGTGTAGACTCCTGGCCTCTGGAACATGCCACAGCCTCCGGCTGATTACTCCCAGGACAAAGTAACCAGAGTCCTCTGTCTGACACACCAGGGGTCCCCCCCAGAGTCCCCCTTCTCCTGGAGGTGGACAGTTTGATCTTGGGGTGAGTGTTTCTGACAAATGAAAGCCCTTTACAATGAGATTATATTTTATCCTCTACTATATCATATACAGTTTCATAGTTTGAGTAACTGTATTCTATAGTATTGGACTGGTACTGAGTGTTTCAAAGTTTAAAAAAGGCCCTCAAAATGTGCTCTCTGATATGGTTATAAATCCTAGTTCCAAACATTGTCACCAGAGGGCGATGTATGACAACACAAATCCTTGGGTAAAGTTGGGTCCACTGTTGTTGTACTGTATTAGGCACCACACATCCATCCCCTCTGTGTTCCTGTGTTTACAGTGGGTCTATGAGTCCTGTGTGTTCCTCACCGTGCAGGTGTCCTGTATATGATGCTGTGGTGGCCCCGCACACAGCATTCTAGGGGTCAGTCTACCAGTGTAATAACGCTCAGTCAGCATGGCTCACAAGTGATACCTCTAGCGGCTCAACAGTGCTGTTCCATGGTCCACCTAACAGTCAGCACACAAAACAGTCTGTGTTAGGCTGCCCTCAGAGAACCACAAACACATATGCCCGTTAACACACATGCCATACCCACCTATACACACACACACAAACACACACTTTCAGCAAATATTTCCCTGAGGTACAGACATTTGAATGAGGTAATGTCAAATTTGTACACTCATCGTGATAAAGTGAGATTTTTGCTTTGTCATGGTGTCTTGTTGTGGGTCAAACACAGTATGGCACGATACTGTACGTACCTGTCTGACCCTCCCACAATGAGAACATGCAGACCTGGGAGGGTGGGGCTTCCTGTCCCGAGCAGGGCAGACAGACGGACTGGGCATGCTCAGTGAGGAGCAGCGGGGAGCACAGCTGTAGCAGCGCCACATCGTAGTCCTGGGTGAGGGGTCAGCACCAGTCTCCTCACACCATGCTTCTATAGGACCCATACAGAGACAGAGAGGAGAGAGAGAGAACAATGTGTGTGTATGTGTATGTGTGTGTGTGTGTGTGAGAGAGAGAGGGGGGGGGGGGGGGGGGGTGGACTGACACAATGAGTGAGAGATAGGAAGACTGAGGATGCTTTATCCTACCTGGTTCTTCGGGTCTCCCATCTCCAACGACAGTGAGTTTAATGTTTGCTCCACCCTGTGTTAGATATAATTTTTTAAATAAAAAAATAGAGGCTGGTGTTGTTATGATCTGTTTTTATGAGTAACATATTCATCTATGAAAAAGTATTGGACAGGAGTTTTCAAACTGTTTTCAAACTCTTCAAATATCCCATTTATTTTGCACTAAATTAAGATGTAATGCTATAGGATATGTGTATGCATGCACACTGTTATTATGATCTGTTTTTATTAACATTTTAATCTATGAAAAAATATAGGATATGTGTGCGTGTGTTGGTGTGACACTCACAGGCCTAGGAGGCAGTATGTATCAGTGAGGACCCAGGCAGGCTGGATGATGGCCCCAGTGCAGATATGTTCAGTGTCCAGGCTGAGGCGCACCTCTCAGGGCCTGGAGTGCCGTGACGCCCCCTCTCCCTCCAGAGACTCACTGGGGGTCGAGGCAGCACGGACATGAGACATTCCACACGAGTCTGAGAGGTCACAAACACACGTGCAGGCACACATGTACGCAGGCGCACACACACACACACACACACACACAAACACACACACAGTTACACTCCCCTCCATATTTATTTGGACAGTGTCAAAAGCTTGGCTCTATACTCCAGCATTTTGGATTTGAGATCAAATGCTTCATATGAGGCGATAGTACAGAATGCCCCCTTTTATTTGAGGGTATTTTCATACATATCTGTTTAACTGTTTAGAAATTAAGCACTTTATGTATCTAGTCACTTTTATTGTAAATAAGAATAGAATATGTTTCTAAACACTTCTACATTAATGTGGATGCTACCATGATTACGGATAATCATGAATGAATCGTGAATAATGATTAGTGAGAAATTTACCGAGGCACAAAGATCATACCCCTAAAACATGCTAACCTCTCACCATTACCAATAACAGGGGAGTTTAGCATTTTGGGGGGTAATGATATTTATGCCTCTAACTTTCTCACTCATCATTATTCAGGTATATGACTTATCAATGATGTAGTACAATAGAGAAATCATGCACAAAGTAGCGTACACAATCGCAAAGCACGTGAAATATATTTACATGAGCGCCGCACACCAATAACCTTGTTTCAGAGGAATATCATCTGCAGGCAGCAAGAGTGTGCAGCTCTCAACTGGTTTTGTCATGGAGCAGCTCACAGAAGAATGACATCGGTAGCCGGAAAGGTAGGAAAGACGTTTCAACTTATGATATCTACCAGTAAATGCTAACTAAGGCAACAATGGTTATGCAAACCAGGTATTGAAACAGTTTTGTCAGATGTGTTGGTTAGTAGGCTAATTGTGATGCGCAATTGTCATCATGTGCTGTTTGCATCAGGGGCGTAGACATGGATGGGCCTGGGTGGAAAGAGGCCCAACCCACTGTGGAGCCAGGCCCTGACAGGCCCACCCAATCAGATTCATGTGGTTTAAGCATTGTTGTGGACTTTGACATCCCATTTTTGTATTTTTTCTATTAAAAAAGTGTGATTTTGAGTGTGAAAATCAGACAAATCTATAGGAAAACTCAGAAAACCATAGGAAAACAGGATGTTTCACACAGGGTGTCTTTCCTTCGCTGTGCGGGCCGTTTGGGAACTTTTTGGCAAAATGTGAGTATAACCACTTCTCCAGGCACCACTACACCACTGCATAGGGCCAATGGAAAGACAGAGGTTATACACAGCATGATGTTAAAGGATAAGCAGTCCATAAACTCTGACATAATATGCCATTAAGTCCCAATCATAAGAATACAAAAACACAACCATTAAGCATTTCCCAATCAAAATGTACAACTATTACTTCCCATTGCAAAAAACATTTCACGTTTAGCACACCAAGTAACCGGTGACCTAAAGTTTAAAGTGGAACTGACAGCGTTTTAACTACTTTGCAGATATGAAACAAACAGACAATCATAATATCAGTAAAATATATCCAATTCCCAGTTTATACTACAAAACCAACTTTATAAGAGGTTTTACAAATAGGTAATTTTTGACTCAACGTTCCATGACGTACACTAAGGCATTGTTGGCAGAATAGATGGATGCAGTTCAATGCAGGATTAATTCACCAATACATTGCTTGGTAGTCCCACAAATATTGCTATCAGGTTGTAAATATCAGCTGGCCTGGTACATTGTTTGCTGCCTCCATTCGGGGTTTCAGTTTCAATAACTCAATATTCTGGACAAAAATTGTGGACTGCAACTAAGGCTGGGAATGTCAATACAATCAAACTAGCATGGGCAATGATCACAAGTCAGTCATAACGTGGCTAATAGGCTAGCGTATCTATTTATGTAGCAAGATTAAAACACGGAGCTAGCTGCTAGGAGGATGTCATGTCATGCCATTGGAGGAGTGGGTGAGTGACTGACTTTTTCCCCTCATATCGTTTTTAGGTGGCTATACACAGCTACAGATGCAGGTGTCATTTGGTTAGCTAGCAAGAACTTGAACAACTGTTATACAGTTAGCATATCTCTTGCGTTCGTAAATTCACTCTGGCTATTTATTCCGATTTCAGAGGATTCTCATCTGAATGTGCCGAAGTGCAGAACAACTGATGAATTTACGACCGTGCAACACCTGCTGAATATGACCAGTGTCAGTAAACGTAGGCAAAAACAATTATAGTTAGTCAAGAACACTCTAGATAACATGTAAACAACCTCTGCTACGGCGAGTAAAATGGTCAGAGTGAGGTGTTCTCTCATTTGTGTCTGGAAGTAGATAGCTAGCATGCTAGCCAACTTTAGCCAGTTAGCTTGGGTGCTTGGTTGGGACAAGCTTGCATTGGCAGGCAAGCTGCAGAAGGACGAGGAGGCTACAATTCCCCATCGTTTATCAGTGCAATTTTGACGGCCAACTAGCTGAAAAAGTTTGAGAGAGTTTATCTGATGTTCCTTCGTTAGATTTGAGCTCATCTTGCTCTGCTAGCATTAGTTGTTGATCTTGTTGTTGTTGATGTGCATAACTGAGGGAGAGAGAGCCTACCTCCCGTGGTGTTTGCAGAAATCTTTTCAGGTGTATTTTGTGGCTTTTGGCGAATGCGTTCTAATGATCTAAAGTCGCGTTGTTCCAAATGCCTGTAAACAGACAGTCCAGTTCAAAGTGAATGATGGCAGGCCCGTGTGGCAAATGGCTTGTTCGTATAAAGGTCTACTGTAGCTCTGATTGGCTATATCGCACCGGTCTGTGTAGACTCCGGTCCTGGACAAGACAGATGTTTTTATTTGGTTTTACTTACTGCAGTGTCTATTAATTGTCCAAACGCACAGCCACTTTCCCACTCCTTATTGCTATAGAATGTTCATAAATGCCTTTTCACAAACATCCTAAGAATTTATGAAAACGTGAAAATGACCATATCTAAGTGGTACTGTGCATTCGGAAAGTATTCAGACCCTTTGACTTTTTCCACATTTTGTTACGTTACAGCCGTATTCTAAAATTGATTAAATAATCACGATTTCATGTTGCTAAAATGCTGTCAGTTCCACTTTAAATGCAACAATGTTTCACACACAAGTTATTTTCAAAGAGATGGCTAACAACAGAAAGCGCCCTTTGTGCATCCTTTTCTGCAAGACCAACCTACACATTAAGTGCTTAAACCAGGAAAAATTAGCAATTTTACAGCTAATGTCCTGCAATTCTACACATTTTCCATAGGGTGGAGAGAAATGTTTGCAGTTTTTAATATGATATCTGAGTGAGAGTGACTAGCAAAATCAACGGGGACCCTACGGTTGGTAAATTGACCATAGTCATAGTTTAATTAAGGCAGAGTGCACTAATTTGGTGGGATTTCTTTCTTTATTATTACATATATATTTGTTTATATATATTTTGTCTTTATTTAGATTTATCAGGTGGTGCTGCAGCACACTCAGCACCCCTACTTCCCGCAGCTATGCATGGGTGAGTGACTGTCAGTGACTGACGTAAGAGAAAAACTGCTGATCCACAACCACATTTTGAAATTGCACCTTGTGTAGTATTCTACTATTCCAGCTCTCAACAGTTATTTTCTTTTTGGGGGGAAATTGGTCCGTGGACCCACAAAAGGGGGGCCCTGCTAGTTGCCCATCCCTGGCTTCAACCAATTAATGTACTACCTGTCATTTATACATACCGTAAGGGGGGACAGTCGGAGATCCTTACATGCTCATCACAGTTCTCTGTTTATGGTTGATGCTATATACCACACAGCCTTTCAAAAGGCCCCTGACGCAAGGTACCTTGTTTGCAGTACAAAAGCATTTGAACACAGAAGTTGTTGTATAATCAGATGGCTAAGGTGCCAAAGGAAAGCAGTGAGTGGCGGCAGTGAACAGTGTCATGATCTGACTCCCCGTCCAGGTCAAGCTGATATTCGTCTTGCAGGTCTGAGGGAGTAAAGAGTCAGATTGTCTGTGATCAGCTAGTGTGACAAGACAGCCAAATTTCTGCGAAATATCGAAGCATCTTATCTTATCATGCAACAGTTATGAAATGTACTATATTGTAAATGCATGATCTGTTATGGAAAGTGTCATGATACACTGATCTGTGGGGTTGTTATGGAGAGCAATATGAATGCTTGGTTTGTGTGTGTTGGTTTCATAGTGGTGTCACACTCAGCTGTCTTGTAGATGAACGACATGGTGGCGTGGAACCCTCGGAAGGTGACCGTGCTGTCAGAGGTGAACTGGAGTACCATCACGTTGTCATAGCTCAGAACAGGGGGAGACACACTCCTACCACACAGCACCGCTTTCACAGGGACACAAACATTACCCTCCTCGAAGTGGTTGTGTGTGTTCGAGTGTGTGCATTCCTTCGTGTGTGTGTGTGTGTCACAGGAGGTTGCATCAAAGTGAATATCACATTCTTTCCAGTACAGGTAAACTGATTCCATCCACACCAGAGACCGAACTCTAACTGCGTAGGCAGAGTGCCATGCATGTATTCATGATTCCACTGGGAGAGATCAGCGATCTGGGGTTTCCCTTCGGTCACAATGGCCTTGCACAGGACAGTACACAAAATATTAGCATCCCTACTGCATAAGAGGTATAGGTCAACATGTGTCACCTTGACGACGTGATCCTTGGGGGCATAGATGACCCAGTGGCAGTCAGCGTTGTTGCTGTAGGTTTGTGTGTAGTTGAAACTCTGAACGGCCCTCTGATCCTGGACTAGTGCCACGGTGCCACATCCCGACGCTGCACAAACACAAAGGACGCATTATCAGCCACAAGCCCTGCCCTGTCTGTGGCTCCACACTCACCCTGTCGCACACTTAACCCTTGACAATACATGTGCCTCCGTACAACACAAACACTGTCAGCCAGCCATCTTGGCTCCTGTTTCTGACCCACGTGGTGGTGTAGTTAAAGTAGAGGAGTTTGTGTTTTCATCACAGACCCTCTGCACCTCCTTGCCGGGTCGTGGGACTGCTGTGTGCCCCCTGGCTGCTCTGTAACTATGGGAGAGTCAGCCATAAAATTAGGAATTATAATTCAGTTAGCCCCATGAGGATGTGTGTGTATGTGTGTGCGTGTGCATGCATACGTGCGTGCATACGTGCATCCGTGCATATGTGTGTCTTACTAGCAGCACTTGGAGGGTGTGTGGCTCACAAGGTGGAGGGCTCTGCTAGGATTGAAAGAGAGAGAGTAGGGAGCCTATCTATTGTCAGGAACTCTGAGGGACTAGACACATCCTGTCATCAGGCAGGATGATGAAACATGAGACCCAGCACACAGCTCTGCCAAACATCGTACTCTATCATCAAGTCAAGTCACGAATGCAATACACAGGTATTTGCAGTACAAACATAGAGAACAAAATAATGATTTAGCAGAAAAAAAATGCTATGAGGATCCATCCATTAGTGTCAGTCTGTTGTCTGTAAAATCGCAAAAAAACACACAGTTTTGACATACAGCACTTCTACAATGCTAACTAGTTTAATGTTCTGGTGTTAACACGTCTGGGGATCAACTCTGAGAGTTGTTCTATCCCTGGGGTGAGTGGGGTTAGGCTTGGCGAGCCAAGCAGGCATGCCCTGACATACTGGTTACTCACCAGGCACAGAATTCCCCTCAACACCTCGGAATATAACAACAAATCTGCTTCCTGTTCCACTGACGTCAGACACAAAGTGGAGAGAGGCCTTGTGGGAGTCGATTAGCACCGGGGCTGGGGGGGGGGGGGCCTGCCACAGAAACTTCCTAAGAGAAAGCAGTGGTGGTAAAGTACTTAAGTAAAAACACTTTAAAGTACTACTTAATTCGTTTTTTGGGGTATCTGTACTTTAAATTACTATTTATATTTTTGACTACTTTTACTTTTACTTCACTACATTCCTATTGAAATGAATGTACTTTTTACCCCATACATTTTCCCTGACACCCAAAAGTACTCGTTACATAAAGAATGCTTAACAGGACAGGAAAATGGTCCAATTCACACACTTCTCAATAGAACATCCCTGGTCATCCCTACTGCCTCTGATCTGACGGACTCACTAAACACAAATGCTTTGTTTGTAAATGATGTCTGAGTGTTGGAGTGTACCCCTGGCTATACTTAAAAAAAGAAAATGGTGCCGTCTGGTTCGCTTAATATAAGGAATGTGAAATGATTTATACTTTTACTTTTGATACTTAAGTATATTTAAAACCAAATACTTTTAGACTTTTACTGGGTGACTTTCACTTTTACTTGAGTCATTTTCTATTAAGGTATCTTTATTTTTACTCAAGTATGACAATTGGGCACTTTTTCCACCACTGAGAGAAAGCCAATGGGAGATCACAAAGTCAAAACCATCCAATCAACCGGTGGGAAGGGTAAAACTAGGGAGACACACATAGGGTTAATGCAACCTAATCTCTCACCAATAGGCCTCTCTGAGTCTGTACCCGCAAATACTGTGAGCTGGTCACTGTGACAGAGGGTGTCATTCTTTATGTCGAGTTCCAGCAGAATATTCCTCCCTGAAGGAACATTGATGGACCAGGAACATATACTACCAGAGAGAGAGACAGAGAGACAATCAGTATGGAAAACTAATTGGATGCATTTAGGATGTTCCGAGAACAATTTCATATACTACTACTACAGAGTCAATCTATTACTTTGTGAAAAAGCTGTCACAAGTATTCCACCTTTTGACTAAACTGATTAAGACTAAGATTAAGATCACTTTATTGGTCAATTGCGCACAAGGTCCAACCAAAATTGAACTTACACTGTTAACCCTCCGAAAGAAACATATACATACATACAGGTTTTTGGAGAGGTGTGGGGGGGCTGCCACACTGGGCGCCCAGGGAGCTGTTGTTGTGAGGGGTTTAGTGCCTTGCTCAAGGGCACAACGGAGGCAATGGAATCTAGGATTTGATAACAGCAACCCTCTGGTTGCCAGCTCACTTCCTGACAGAATTTTCCCTTCGGACCTGGGATTCAAACTGGCAACCCTCTGGCTGCCTGCTCGCCTGTCTAACAGCTTGGCTACCAGCCGCCCATGACAGCTATCAAGTGGTGAGTAACATGGCCTAAAAGCATACTTAATTAAAGGGCATTCAATGAGAGCATTCAGTTCAGCACAGCTCTCCCTCCCCCTGTGCAACGGGCCTGTACACTGTCACTGTACGACACCCACTCATTTGGTTTGGGATAGCATCTACTGCTGAACAAAACAACAACAAAATAATTTATTAGACCATCTGTTAAATAAATTAATTCAACAAATCCAGAACTGCATGGCTTACACTGACTAAAACGTGTTAGATAACCTCTGAGTTTCGTCTTGATCCAGGGCAGGAGCATCTTGACATCAGGAAAGACCCCCAGGGATCCTATCTTGGCTGGGGACTTAGCCTTGTTGATGATCCAGCTCCGGCCACAGCCTTTCCCCCAGGAGGTGAACCCCACCATGGCCCAGTGGCCATCCTCTCTGGGGCAGATCAGAGGACCCCCAGAGTCCCGCTGGAGATGGGAGAATACAACATTATCTGATAAGGGACCTCTCAAAGGAATGTTGGGAAGTCTATGAACAGAGGAACTGTTATGACTGAAAATAACCAGAGATCCTCCACCAGACACTGGACAGAGACCACTGAAGCATAATAACACTGTGTTATAGATTTTGACATGCAGAGTCAGACAGCATGCTGTATTGTAGCCTATCTACTGTACCTGGCAGGTGTCCTTGCCTCCTCTCTCTGGTCCAGCACACAACACAGTGAGGGCCTGCTGTGTGGGTCTCAGGGTCTGGAGAACATACTTGCACTTAGCTGGCTCCACCTACTCCAGCTGGACCTCTCTTAGAATGTCAGGTAGACAACCACCTGAATGTGGATACAGTGGGTTTCCATTAGCCTGATCCCAGATCTGTTTGTGCTGTCTTACCAAATCCTTATGGTCATTGTCACGCCAATTGCATAAAATATCTGGGATCAGGCTAGGTCTCCATCATCAAAACATCCAGAAAATCCAAGTGAAGAGTCAAGTGTCCATATTGAAGTGCTAGTTTGGAATACATGTCAAACTGAAGGTAAAGTTAATATGGGCCTTACGTTCTTTTGTCTGTTCCCATCCACTCACAAGGCAGCTGGTCCTGGGCGGGAAGCTCTCAATGGGCAGAGGCAGGCATATGGGCTGAACACAGAAGCCTGCAGAGGATGTAGGCACAGATACTTTAGAAAGGATTTCCTACAGCGACAAGAGTAATGTCTGGCCAAAGTCCCCTGGTGAAAAAAACAGCATATGCTGGTGACTAGTGCTAGTTTTGCTGGTGACCAGCCTTGATTGTGTTTTGGACACTAGCATAAACTGATTACCAGCGTACCAGCATATGCTGGTCACCAGCAAAACCAGCATCAAAGTGCTTCATTATTTAAGACAATACATGACATACAGTGCATTCAGAAAGTATTCCGACCCCTTGACTTTTTCCACATTTTGTTACGTTACAGCCTTATTCTACAATGGAGCTCAGGTGCATCCTATTTCCATAGATAATCCTTGAGATGTTTCTACAACTTGATTGGAGTCCACCTGTGGTACATTTAATTGATTGGACATCATTTGGAAAGGGACACACCTATCTATTTAAGGTCCCACAGTTGACAGTGCATGTCAGAGAAAAAACCAAGCCATGAGGTCGAAGGAATTGTCCATAGAGACAGGATTGTGTCAAGGCACAGATCTGGGGAAGGGTACCAAAACAATTCTGCAGCAATGAAACAGCGGCCCCAAGAAAACAGTGGCCTCCATCATTCTTAAATGGAAGAAGTTTGGAATCACCAAGACTCTCCCTAGAGCTGGCCGCCTGGCCAAACTGAGCAATCGGGGGAGAAGGGCCTTGGTCAGAGAGGTGACCAAGAACCCGATGGTCACTCTGACAGAGCTCCAGAGTTCCTCTGTGGAGATGGGAGAACGTTCCAGAAGGACAACCATCTCTGCAGCACTCCACCAATCAGGCTTTTATGGTAGAGTGGCCAAACGGAAGCCACTCCTCAGTAAAAGGCACATGACAGCCCGCTTGGAGTTTGCCAAAAGGCACCTAAAGTGCTCTCAGACCATGAGAAACAAGATTCTCTGGTCTGATGAAACCAAGATTGAACTCTATGGCCTGAATGCCAATCGTCACGTCTGGAGGAAACCTGGCACCATCCCTACGGTGAAGCATGGTGGTGGCAGCATCATGCTGTGGGGATGTTTTTCAGCAGCAGGAACTGGGAGACTAGTCAGAATCGAGGGAAAGATGAACAGAGTAAAGTACAGAGAGATCCTTGATGAAAACCTGCTCCAGAGCGCTCAGGACCTCAGACTGGGGCAAAGGTTCACCTTCCAAAAGGACAATGACCCTAAGCACACAGCCAAGCAATGCAGGAGTGGCTTCGGGACAAGTCTCAATGTCCTTGAGTGGCCCAGCCAGAGCCCGAACTTGAACCTGATCGAACATCTCTGAAGAGACCTGAAAATAGCTGTGCAGTGTTGCTCCCCATCCAACCTAACAGAGCTTGAGAGGAGCTGCAGAGAAGAATGGGAGAAACTCCCCAAATACAGGTGTGCCAAGCTTGTAGCGTCATACCCAAGAAGACTCGCGGCTGTAATCGCTGCCAAAGGTGCTTCAACATATTACTGAGTAAAGGGTCTTAATACTTATGTAAATGTGATATTTCCGTTTTTTTTTTTATACATTTGCAAAACAATCTAAAAACCTGTTTTTGATTCATCATTATGGGGTATTGTGTGTAGATTGATGAGGGACAAAAACAATTTAATCAATTTTAGAATAAGGCTGTAACGTAACAAAATGTGGAAAAAGTAAAGGGGTCTGAATACTTTCCAAATGCACTGTATCCTCATAGCCATATTTCTCAAAAGGAGGGTGTCACATGTACAGTAAAAGGAAGTCACTTGCCAACCAGGGGTGGGCTCTATATCTTGCCTCCAACCCTCCAACGATTCTCAAAGAACGGTCAAAGAAGTTCCTGACCTGTGGAAGACCACACTTTGGACCTGTAGGTGGGATAAAGCTGGGGCTTGTTCAACAAAAAATATACACAGAAAATAATTGGACATTCAAGTTAAATGTCCACAATCCAAGCAATGTTTCTTTGAATCTGTATACCCTGCTACCCTATTATTGGTATACATTTGATAATTTACCATAGAGATCATCTGAAATGCCAGTGTGGGGAAAGTAACACAGACATATTAGAATCCCAGTGGTCTTCACCCGTGAACCTCCCATGCTGGCTGAGACAAGGGGGTTTATTTGGTGGGAGGGTTAACTATGTGGGTAGGGTTACTTGTTAACCACACTGCAGGCATCTGTAAGAACAGAGCTAGGTTATAGTCATAGTGGGGAAGACAGAGTAACACGCTAGACTCGCATACTGCCTCAGACAACAGTGCTCAGGGTGACTCCCCCTCAGAGCTTGACAACAACTATCACCAGTGAACCGCCATTCACAGTGGGAGACAAACACAGCCAGACAAATGGACCATGCCTTCTTTTCCTTTTTTGTAAACAACTGAACCTGCATTGAAACTGGTCCTTAGCATTGTTATCTGTTTCCAACTATTCTGTCAGTGTCTGAAATCAAGGGCAGGCTCCACCAGTATAATACAGGCCCGAGTACCCCATAAAATCAACCAAAGAAGAGGACCAACTGGGGCGAAGGCCATCCAAGACAACCATAAACCACCCTGGACAATGCTGAGAAACCTCAGACATACAATCTGTAAAAGGAACCGCAGACACACAAGGAGTAGAGATAACAAGACAAATTTTAACAGATTGGAAAACTGATAGAAATTGAGATTGAGTTCAAAGGCTGATTTTAATCGTATTAATCAATAGGCCATTGAAACAGTAAGAAAGGATCAGGGCCACATTCAGAAGGCAAAAGTTGTCTGAAATTTCATGAATAGAGCTGACATGATTCCTTATTCTACATGTCAGAGAGGCATGTTTGTTCTACAAGACATCCTTTCATGACGGTCACGATAACCTTTGAAACTAAGTTTGCGAGTCATGGAACAGGAAATAGGCACATTTAATTTGACTTCTTGAACTCTTTTGCCATTTTTGAACACTGAATGAATCTTCTATGATGCTGAAGGAATAGAGAGGTCTTATGATGGATCGTATCCTCTAAAAGTCTAAGCCTTTGGGAGGGGGGGTTCTACTAAGCTAACATATGGAATTGTTTTAAGATGGACATACCTTGGATAATTTAGCTATTAGATTTTTAATTTTAGGACCCCTGTAGGTATGAATTATTGTCTTTTGTAATTATTTGATCAAATATAGAATATGGCCTTTACTACTGTAGCCCATAGAAATGCATTGATTAAAAAAAAAAATAATCATAAGGAATAAGGTTTTGAAAGCTCAGGAAATATTTGTGTTTTTTGGACACATATTTAAGCCCTTTTATTTGTTGGCACATAACTACCTCCATACTTCCACTCATTTTTTAAACCGGTACCGGGTTACCTTCAGACGAGTCCTGTGACACTCATCTTTCCATAGAGTGGTGATATTAGTTTGTAGCCCAAACGGTTCGGACGCTACAGACAGAAGTTGGCACATCAACAGTACTGAATTCAGACGAGTCCTGCAGGGCTTGTGGGGATCATAGAGCAAAACGGAGAACACAATCGTGTTTGTGAGAGTCTCATCTTTCCATAGAGGGGTAATACTAGTTTGGACGCTACAAACGTTTTTGTGAGAAGACCGATTTTCTGGATGTCTCATAGTCTGACAAACACAGCTGTAGCTCGGCCCATAGCAGCAGGAGGTAGGGGTGCTGAGGGTGCTGCAACACCCCCTGATAAATCACAATAAAAAAAATGAATATGTTTAAAAATTCAAAAGACTTGATATCTCTAGCTTAAACTGACAGATTTTGTTGGGGATTATTTTATTATGTTACTTAGATTGACGCATGGGTGTGTCAATAGACTCTTAAGGATTATGACTAGGGCCCTGTGTTTTGGGATATCATGTCACATGACCTACATTTTAACCTTTATTTTAAGCTTTTCCAGAAATGAGAATTACACCAAAAATAAAAGCAATTGTCTGGTGATGGTGCTGGACCATCTGACATAAAAAGAAAAGAGGACAGTTTGATGAAAAATCTTTAAATAAACATTATATCCAATTTGTAAGTCGCTCTGGATAAGAGCGTCTGCTAAATGACGAAAATGTAAATGTAAATTCAAATCCAGGTCATGTGACATGATTGTCCAAAACACAGGGCCCTACTTATGAGTACTGTGATTCTAGAACAGGGGTAGGCAACTAGATTCAGCCACGGGCCAATTTCTCTCAGAGGGAATGGTCGGGGGGGCAGGAAAATAATAATAATAATTTGTACACTGCAAACTAACCACAACTAAGCCCAAAAAGAGATTCTCATCGATGGGGCTGTAGTGGAACAGGTTGAGAGCTTATAGTTCCTTGGTGTCCACATCACCAACGAACTATCATGGTCCAAACACACCAAGACAGTCGTGAAGAGGGCACAACAAAGCCTATTCCCCCTCAGGAGACTGAAAACATTTGGCATGGGTCCTCAGATCCTCAAAAAATTATACAGATGCACCATCGAGAGCATCCTGACTGGTTGCATCACCGCCTGGTATGGCAACTGCTCGGCCTCCGACCGCAAGGCACTACAGAGGGTAGTGCGTACGGCCCAGTACATCACTGGGGCCAAGCTTCCTGCCATCCAGGACCTCTATACCAAGCGGTGTCAGAGGAAGGCCCTCAAAATTGTCAAAGACTCCAGCCACCCTAGTCATAGACTGTTCTCTCTGCTACCGCACGGCAAGCGGTACCGGAGCGCCAAGTCTAGGTCCAAAAGGCTTCTCAACAGCTTCTACCCCCAAGCCATAAGACTCAGGCACAGACACAGACAATTTGCACTGCCCCCCCACCCCCACCCCGTCCCCCTTTTTTACTCTGCTGCTACTCTGTTTATTATTTATGCATTGTCACTTTAACTCTACCCACATGTACATATTACCTCAATTACCTCAACTAGCCGGTGCCCCCGCACATTGACTATGCACCGGTACCCCCCTGTATATAGCCTCTCTACTGTTATTTTATTTTACTGCTGCTCTTTAGTTATTTGCTTTTATATTTTTTGCTTAACACTTTTTAAAATCTATTTTACATTGCATTGTTGGTTAAGGGCTTGTAAGTAAGCATTGCACTGTAATGTCTACACCTGTTGTATTCGGCGCATGTGACCAATAAAATTTGATTTGATTTGATTTATTTGAAAACAACAATAATTTCATACTTTGATTACATTGAGATACGATCACGTCTCTTTTTTTATTGGTGCGAATACTTGGGAACAGATTTCCTAAATTAAACAATTATTTTGTTGAATTACAGTTTTTGGCCGACCCGTTCTAGAAGCTCTTAAGTTTGCTCAATGCCCTTTCAGTCACAACATTTCAAGCATACCAAAACACAAGAACACATGGGACTTGCTTGAATGTTAGGGAACTGGTACAGTTGAGGAAGCATGGCATTCAAACAATACACTTCAAATTAGCATGATTTTCTGTAGAAAACAAGTATATACCTTTTACACAAACAGAGACTGTCCCATTATGCTACATACTGTTAAATCTGATGTGATAGACCATCTATGGGGGTTTACTTACCAGGAGCAGTGGAGTAGTATGCTTGATAATCAGGACAAAATTGAACATCAATGATAACGTCAGTCAGTAGGACAAGCAACCTTAGGGAATGTGTCAGAATGTCCTGTACTTTATACAGACTACATTCAGATAAACCCAGTTTGAACACAAGTGTAGCTGCTCTGAACTAGTATTGTAACATACTGTCAGCTAAGCTACTCCTGTATGTTTCCTAGAATGCAAAACAGGGAAATCTGTGCTGAAAGTGTGTATGTGTTGCATCAACGTATGAGGGCATCCCACTGTCTTAAGCCCCTGAGACTGTGGATCCTGTTTACCCTGCCAAGGGGTCCAACTCCCAACGGGCACACTCAGTAGTGACTCAGCCCGGACCATGGTTGCCAGGCTACAGCTGGCCAGCTGCCAAGTGTTCTAGCACAGGGTTTCCCATCTACCTTATGCATCATGATTTGGATAAATAACATGAATTCATGCACAACCGTCATTACACTTCATATCTCACAATTGTCACAAATATCACGACTGACTTGGTGGCAACTAGCCCAGTTTATTCTAATTCCAGAAACTGCCTCTGGCAGAAGATTGCTGAGAAGCTCTGGAGCATTTTGACCATCATGGGTTTTGAGAATGGGTGAACAGTGATTATCTGAAAGCATCCTACAATAGGAATCCATTCATTATTTCCTGTTGTCGTTCTATGGCTCAAAGTCAACACCACCGCATTCATGTCAGCATTTTCTTGGGTAAACCAAGAGATGTAGAGGGCATTAGGACTAATTTATTTTTTAGGAGAGGTTGGCAACATTGTCTCGATTTAAAAAACATTCCTTACCCCAGGACACTTCAACAGGTGACCCGGTAAATAAAGAAAAAGGAGCACCAATATTTATTGACGGGACATGAACAGGCTTACGTTTCTAATTGTACGCCTGTTCATCTCCTGTCAATAAATATCAGATGATTTATGCAGAAACAGAGTGCACCTTTTGAAGTGTCCTGGGGTAAGGAATGTTTTTTGGATTTAAGTCCCTCCGTTAAGCACCTGATTCTCCTTTTTGTTTCAAGCTGGGCTGAAGCGTGTTTGGCTTTCTTTCTATTGTTTCAATTTACTTTACTACACACAATTCATTGTCAATGCCAATTTATAGAAGTGGAAAAGATGCCACATGCAGTTCAAAACAGTAGGGGTCTTCTCCACAAACAGAAGACAACAGTTTAGTTGAAGCAGACTACGTTAGGAAAGGCTAAATGGCCAATCATAACACTACATATTCTGATGCCATAATCACACAAATAGACCATTTGCATCAATAAATAGAATTGAAGTTCAAATGCAATATTGATTTTGAACTTCTATCCCCTGGTAGAAGATTCTATGAATACCTAAAATACATTGGAAGTCTTATTGGTGGCTCAGGCAGTAAAAGCATGGCGCGAGCAATGCCAGGGTCATGTGTTCGAGTCCACCCACAAGGAATTATGTAAGTCGCTAAATTACATATTGCTCTAGGGTAAGTATTTAGTTCAGTCAGCTACTGTAGCTAAGTACAGTAAATGATTGACTCCGCTCTAGTCCTGTGCACATCACAACAACAACAAAATTGCCCCTGTGCAATTATATAATAGTGGAAGCTCTTGGGTCAAATGTTTTGGCAACAACGTTAAACAAAGGAATTGGCACAGCCAGAAGATAGGGTTCTAGTTAGAAGGCCTGGTGAAGCTGAAAACGTGTTCTATTCACTAGGGGGCCAAATCCTGGCTGGCAGTATTAAAAGTTAATTGAGTGTCTGAACAGAATCAGAGAAACACGACACAATCTCTGGTATGCTAAGTGGTGAGAGAGATCCGTTAAGCATTAGAAGATGCTGGTCAGATATCTATATAAAGCTATGTTTTATTCTCTCTAGCTCAGGGATGGGCAAATCCTCCCCCGCACCCCCATGGCAAAATGTGAAGAATTACAGGAAATTAGCTGTAAATTGGCACATTTTTCTCTACACCCAATAGCAAAATCAGTAGAATTGCATGACATTTGTAATAAAATTGCTAAATCTTCTCTGCCCCATGGCAAAATGTGTGGAATTGTAGGAAATGACTAGAACTTCAAAGTCTCTCTCCGCTGTCAAGAGGGCCCTCATTTTTACATTTTAGTCATTTAGCAGACGCTCTTATCCAGAGCGACTTACAGTTAAGTGAGTGCATACATTTTCATACTGGCCCCCCGTGGGAAACAAACCCACAACCCTGGCGTTGCAAGTGCCATGCTCTACCAACTGAGCTACACGGGGCCTCAAAAGACTAGGGCCGGCTGACTGCATATGTGGCTACGAAGACCCGCAAGTCACTGCGGCCCCTCATGCGTTCAGATTTTTTTGTGGCCCCCACCCCAATCAAAGTTGCCCATCCCTGCTTTAGCTGCTGATTGTACCTGGTACTTAAACTGGAGGTATTACTGGAATGCTCAAGCAGTATTACCAGCTCCTCTCTACCAAGGGGTGATCATTGGAGTGAGAAAAACCTTGTAAGATCAAAGCTATGTTAATGTTAATTTATTTTTCAACCTGACAACAAAATACTTAGCTTCAAGAACAAAACTTCCCGCAAAGAGGATTTAACAGTTTATTCCTTCTTTTTGGTTTACAAACAAAAGGCACCCATTGATTTCTTTTTCTTTCTTTTTTTTACATTTACAGTGGCAATAACTTTAAAACCCTCAATGAGAACTGCAGAGCGCATCCTCGGGAGAATTCAGTGAGGGTCATTGGCAAACAACAAATTGGTTATAGGATACAGTTCTTTCTACAGGACTACATTGTAAAATTATAAGAGGAAACAGGACAACAAAATACAAAGATTTTGCAGGCGGACAAAAGGCAAAAGGAATATGTTAAATCAAATGTCAGTCCAGATGGACATTGTGATATGGTGCTGTAAAACCAGAATGAACATAAAATGTTAGAGATGTGCAATATAAGACCATTAGAATGATCCAGTAATATGAATCCCTAGCAATATGAAGTAGCAGAGGGTCTGCTCCACTCTCTTACCTCTCCATCACTGGCACAACAGGTTAATAAGAAACCCTGAATTCGCTGTTCCATTCCTTTTGTATCACAAGTTTAACAATACTACACTACTAATAGCAAAGCCACATACCAGAAATAAACAACTGTTACACACTTACTTCTTCAAATCCAACACCACAAGGAAAAGGGACTACAAAAGCAAGGACACCATTCAACATGTGCTTCTCAAAACAGTTATTACAATGGACATGACAACTTGTTAATCAATATTCAAATACAAGCAACTACAGTATTAACTTAATTTGGATTCAGGAATCATAGGTAGCTTTTTAGTAAGCTGTGCAATGAGTCAGGCTGTGTTAACTTTTACATTCAGAGAAATATGGCACACTTAAAAGAACTGACAATAGAACTGAGAACAGTTTCAACATGATGCAGTAAATCACACACGTAAAGTAAAATGGTATACAGCAGCTGAAGTAGGTTCAGTTGAATTAGTTTCCTCAAGCTTTTCTCTTTAGTAAATAAATAGCCATGAAACATTTATTTTCTGTTTAATAGCATAAAAATACTTTGTAAGTCAGATTTTAATCTTGAAGTCTACCTAAATAGAATTTTGTAGGTATAAGTAACTATATGGCAAATGGACACATACAATGTATAACCACAGAAAAGTGCACCGTCAGTCTGACATCTTAGACAATATGTACAAGAAAACATTAAAAAAGGGAGAGGTACAAACATTTTAAAATGTCCCAAGTGCACAACCTACCCAGGCCAACATTGGATAAAGACCACCTTTGAGAGTTATGGAAAGACACAAAGATAAAAGGCGTTTAGAATGGAAAGAGGAGAGGTCTCTCCCATGCATGGAGTATCCCAAACTAGACAACAGGCAAAACATGTGATGCAAAGCAGTAAACAAAGCTCCAATTCCAGACAGTAAAATGCCCCTGACAATGACCAACATGGGGAAACACTGTTAAATAGGCATAGCTGCGCTCATCTAAAAGCTGTTCTCAGTAAAACCAGTGTAAAGAACCGCAGACTACCCCAACATCAAGTCCTCTGAGCAGTTGCCTGTTCTGAGCTACATGAGATAAGAGGTATCTGGGCCAGAATCATAAGCAGACAGTCCAGTCAGAAATGGCTTAAATGCAACATAAAAAAATAATGCGAGAAAAAAATGGAGCTCTGCAAGGTCAGCTGATGCAAGATAATCATACCTTTTAGGCACAGTAAAAAAGCCATCCCATCACCATCTAACTTGTGCTTGATCATGTCATTGGGAATGAGTAATTGCCAACAGCAAGCATAGAGTATATAGGTGCCTTCATCCCTTTTCAAGCAAGAAAATCTAAACCGTTAATCAAAGCCACCGCCTGACCACCCTGGGGCAGTAGGCAAAGCAGAGAGCTCCATGACAACCAACCTAGGCATCGATGACAATTCTCTGTCTGGTTAGATTCATGCTTACTACATCACAGTTGAATGCAGTACTACCTCCCACACCAGGGAACACACTGCAGAGAGAAAGGGAAGGGGACACATCACATACAGTAGATGAATGGTATGTCAGACCCTTAAAGGGATACTTCAGGATTTTGGCAATGAAGCCCTTTATCTACTTCTCTAGAGTCAGATGAACTCATGGATACCATTTTTACATCTCTGCATCCAGTATGAAGGATGTTAGCAGTAGTTTGGCACAATGACGAAGTATATGGTATCTACTCACATGCTAGCAGTTACCATAGACTTCCAGTCATTGTACTAACACTAGTTAGCAACTTCCTTCAAACTGCACGCAGAGACATACAAATGGTATCCACGAGTTCATCGGACTCTGGGGAAGTAGATACAGGGCTTCATTGCCAAAATCCTTAAGGCTCCCTTTGAGTGACTCAAAATAGTCCCAGGGTTTGAAGAGCCTTGTCCAATGCATAGCTGTCTGCAGGCGGGCCGGCAGGAGGGAGAGAGGGTGGACTGGACTGGGGATTCTGAGTTGAGGAGGGTGGATGGGTTCAAGGTGACCACACCACGTGGCCTCAGTATTTCATGGTGCTGGATGCTCGGAAGTAGGACAGGAACTTGAAGCAGAGGCTGACCACAAAGTACCAGATGTTCCTGCCCATCTGGGACCGCGCAATGAACACGCGCCAGATGAACACGACCAGGACCGTGTTGAACGTGTAGCGGATGTTCCTCAACCTGAAACACACAAAAGGATGACACATTTATTTTAACTTTTTTATGAAGAGGTAACTGAAGAAATACAATGACATGTCCTGGGTAGCTTGCATGTGAAGAGGCATTCACATGCATTCTCAGGAGATTAGTAGATACATCCACTAGCTAAGAAAATGTATCTGCTGGAATACAATGGGAGGAATAGGACATTTAAATATAACTTTACCCTTTGAATATTGTGAGCAACGAGCACATTTAGAAGAACAGAGTATACCAGGGAATAAAGAGAAAACAATACATTAAAAGAAAAATCCATAAACGTATAATTATTGTGCAATTTATATCTATAGGCTACATTGAGGTTTTGCTTTCATTATTTTTAGGCTATCTGGCATTAGTGCGTAAACCTAAGCTTTTGGGCGTAACTTTACACCCGCCAAATAGCCTACACGCCAATCGCTTTTGGGAACGGCAGAAAAACTTAACATCGATCCACTGAGGCAAAAAGTACAATGTCAGAGTTAATTACAATAAGAGAAGAGCTGCGAAATGGAGAGGAAATAAAGAAGAGGGTTGAAAAAGTAATGTTTGGGAAAGATTTGGTGAATTGGTTAAAGAGGATGATAGCAGTGCCTATGTTGTGTGATGATTGCGAGGCGATATACAAATTTGACAGTAACAAGACAGGGACTTCAAATAGGCCTATGGCACGTCAAGGGAACTGTAGCCTACTGTTCAGATGGGTAAAATGGACAGACCTCTCAGTCTTAATATTAACTCCTGCAGAATTAAGCATTTCTTGCAGTAAAATGATACACCAAAATGTACATTTTGACTCGGGAACAGGAGTGGAGAAATATGGTTTCTCTCAGCATCTTGAGAGAATGCGAATGCGCAGCTAGGGACCGTCTGTAGAGGTACTGTCTTTATCAGCATCATAAAAGCTGATAGTATTTCAACCACGTAAAATATGCATCCCAGCCAAACTAAAATCTTATCAGAAACACGTTGGGTCGTTCTCACAGCTTTCTATTTCCTTACAACTGGTCAAACTGATGTCATTTGGACATTTTGCACAGAAAATATTTATAGTAATTGCATTTTCTCCCCGGTCCACGTCTTTGTTCCGTGAAAGAAGCAGAGATGACAGAGAAAACGTTATCGATGTCAACTAGATTGAAGCATTCATTCTAGAATTGATGACGTTATTTTGGTTGAGCAAGGGTTCATTTAGTCTGAGGGCAACATATCACAGAAGAAAACCTGCATGTATCTATACTGAACAAAAATATAAACGCAACATGTAAAGTGTTGGTCCCATGTTTCATGAGCTGAAATAAAAGATCCAAGAAAGTTTCCATACACACACAAATTTGTTTACATCCCTGTTAGTGAGCATTTCTCCTTTGCCAAGATAATCCATCCACCTGACAGGTGTGGCATATCAAGAAGCTGATTAAACAGCTTGATCATTACACAGGCGCACCTTTTGCTGGGGACAATAAAAGGCCACTCTAAAATGTGCAGGTTTGTCACACAACACTGCAGGAATGTCCACCAGAGCTGTTGCCAGAGAATTGGATGTTAATTTCTCTACCATAAACTGTCGTTTTAGACAATACGGCATTACGCCCAACCGGCCTCACAACCACAGACCACGTGTAACCACGCCAGCCCAGGAACTCCACATCCGGCTTATTCACCTGCAGGATTGTCTGAGAATAGCCACCAGGACAGCTGATGTAACTGAGTATTTCTGTCTGTAATAAAGCCCTGTTGTGGGGAAAAAGTCGTTCTGATTGGCTGGGCCTGGCTCTCTAGTGGGTGGGCCTATGCCCTCCCAGGTCCACCCATGGCTGCGCCCCTGTCCAGTCATGTGAAATCCATAGATTAGGGCCTAATGAATTTATTTCAATTGATTGATTTCCTTGTATTAACTAACTCAGTAAAATCTTTGAAGTTGTTGCATGTTGCGTTTATATTTTTGTTCAGTATAGTTATAGACAAGTTGACTAACAAACCGACTGCAGCCTATAGTTATTTTCTATATTTGCGAGTTATGGTCGGGTCCAGGCCTCAGATTTTCACTTTAACACACAGTCAGGCAGTTGCGGATAGGTTATTACCATTTGCGGGTGGGTGCGGGTGAACAAACAGCTGACCCGCGCAACACTAGCATGTGCATCAAAGAACGAAAAATAGCATGAAGTCAAAGCCATTACAATGAAATATTCAAGATCACTTGGGCATTGTCAATAAGAGGATAGTTATGTTACGTAACATGTGCAGGTAGAGACACTTCTCTTACTTGTTGAGGTGTTTACGTGCGGCTGGCAGGCCTGACTCAGCCTCGTTCAGGACATACTTCTTTGTCCCCATGCAATAGTTCTCCATGTACTCTGCCCAGTTGAGTTGTCGCACGTCAAAGTTGAACATCTGGACAAACAAACAAAGGGGATTCATAGTGTAAGGATAGGCACTAAGCAAGTTTGTTGTATCGAGGAAGATTTTACTAAAAAGTACAATATGAAAAGTGTTACATTTGGTGTGTGTTGGACCAACGTACACTCAGTGGCCAGTTTATTAGGTACACCCATCTAGTACCGGGTCAGACCCCCCTTTGCCACCAGAACAGCCTGAATTTGTCAGGGCATGGAAACATTGCTCAAATTGGTATCAAGGGACCTAACGTGTCCCAGGAAAACATTTGCCACACCATTACACCACCAGCCTGTACCGTTGACACCAGGCAAGATCGGGCCATGGACTCATGCTGTTTACGCCAAATCCTGACTCTGCCATCATCATGACGCAACAGGAACTGGGATTCGTTGGACCAGGCGATGTATTCCTCTATTCAATTTTCCAGTGTTGGTGATAGCGTGCCTACTAGAGCTGCTTCTTCTTGTTTTTAGCTGATAGGAGTGGAACCCGGTGTGGTCATCTGCTGCAATAGCCCAGCCGTGACAAGGACCAACGAGTTGTGCGTTCCGAGATGCCTTTCTGCACACCACTGTTGTACTCTTCCTCTTAGCTTGCACGATTCTTGTCATTCTCCTTCAACCTCTTATCAACAAGCTGTTTTCGCCCACAGGACTGCCGCTGACTGGATGTTTTTTTGTTTGTCGCACCATTCTTGGTAAACCCTAGACACCTGTTTCTGAGATACTGGAACCGGCGCGCCTGGTACTGATGATCATACCACGCTCAAAGTCGCTTAGGTCACTCGTTTTGCCCATTCTAAATGGTAACTGAATGCCTCAATGCCCGTCTGCCTGCTTTATATAGCAAGCCACGGCCACGTGACTCACCATCTGTCCACAGTGTATATTCACTGTACATTTCAGCCAGGCCCTGATTATCCAACACAATGACTCCATTCAAACCCAAGCTGAATTATTCAATTGTGCTCGGACTACAAATGCAAACATACTCCATTCGTTCAATAGCATTTCTGTGTCTGCCACCCTACCAGTGTGTGTCCTACACAAGTATGTATGCGTGTGTCCTACAAGTATGTGTGTGCGTCCTACAAGTGTTTGTGTGTGTGCCAGTGACTGGTGGGTGGGTGTAAAGCGTACCCTCTTGTCATCAGTGCCCATCTGGTTCATTAGCATGGTGACGTTGTCCGTGTTCCACACCCACGAGTGACTGGTGAAGTACTCCAGCACCATCATGGCCTTGTGCAGCCGTGTGATGGTCTTCATCATCCTGCCGTGGAGTGGTGGGCGCCATTGCAACAGGGAAGAGACAGGTATTAAGGAGGTAGAAGGGGAGCTGGCACAGAGCTGACAGCACAGTGCCGTCTTTTCCCTTAAGGGCACTGAGCTTTAATAACTAACCTCAGCCAACTGGATTCAGTTTATGACATGGAGAGGGACAGATCAGGGGGATTGAGGTCTGTTAAGCAGACAAAGGCCAAGATGGAACAATGGGTGAGAATTAATTCTTCTAAGTATTTTTGTACAAGGTAAAGACCTCTGTAAGCCAATTCGTTACCAAAATAAAAAGTTTAGGGTATGTCATCGCTACAGATGAAACGTCGATTTTCAAACATCTGACCCTTGCACACTTCTTCACAGCTTTAAAATGGAAGACCTGCATAAATCCAGCACAATCTATAATAGATTAATAGAACACCGGTAAGAGTATAAGCATACTAGTATTATAAGCCAATTTACACTAACTCATACCAGTCTCCATTGGGTTGAGTATTGTTGGGTTGACACATTCAGTGCATTTGGAAAGTATTCAGACCCATTGACTTTTTCCACTTTGTTACGTTACAGCCTTCTTCTAAAATGTATTAAATACAATCTACACACAATACCCCATAATGACAAAGCGAAAACAGGTTTTTAAGTAATGTTTGCAAAACCAATCAGGCCTTTATGATAGTGGCCAGACGGAAGCCACTCTTCAGTAAAAGGCACATGACAGCCCGGTTGGTTTGCCAAAAGACACCTAAAAGGACTCTCAGACCATGAGAAACAAGATTCTCTGGTCTGATGAAACCAAGATTGAACTCTTTGGCCTGAATTCCAAGCGTCACATCCGGAAGAAACCTGCCACCATTCCTAAGGTGAAGCATGGGGGTGGCAGCATCAGGCTGTGGGGATGTTTTTCAGCGGCAGGGACTGGGAGACTAGTCAGGATCGAGGGAAAGATGAACGGAGCAAAGTACAGAGAGATCCTTGATGAAAACCTGCTCCAGAGAGCTCAGGACCTCAGACTGGGGCGAAGGTTCACCTTCCAACAGGACAATGATCCTAAGCACACAGCCGCAACACACAGGAGTGGCTTCGGGACAAGTCTCTGAATGTTCAAGATGTGGCCCAGCCAGAGCCCGGAACACTCGAGGATGTAGTAGCTGCCAAAGGTGCTTGTAAATGTTATATCCGTTTATTTTTTTTCTAAAAACCTGTTTTTGCTTTGTCCTTTTGGGATAGTGTGTAGACTGATATAAAAAAAATCAATTTTAGACTAAGGATGTACGTAACAAAATGTGGAAAAAGTCAAGGGGTCTGAATACTTTCAGAATGCACTGTATGTTGAACACAATGTAATGGAGGGCTTGTCCAATCTTTGAGGGCATCTGAGCATGTCTGACTCTGCCAGTAGCTTAAGGTTTTAAAACTTGCACTAATTACATTGTTGTCATTAAGACAACATGTACTAATTGTAGTTGAAAGTTTCATGAACAAACTTGTTTGAGGATTAATGGCTATGCCAAATTGCGTCAAAAGCAACCATGCTTGTAATCAGAGCTCAGATTCCCTCCATGATACATCGTGCTCCAAGAGGAAGGTGACAAAACATGCCTGGTGGACCATTTAGAAAGTCAAACATTAAGGTATTAGTTTTTCAGTGGGTGAGAAACCCATCTATTCACTTCACCCTTAGAATATGTTGAATACTAAACCAAATGCATTTCAGACAGCCAACAATGTTAAATTTGTGCTAATTGAGAAGTGTTACCAAATGTTCATCATTGCTGAAATGTTTCTGGTTTATAGTACATTTGTGTGGACCAATACTGTAAATATCAGGTAACAAAAACTTGGTTAGACTGAACCATGGTCTGGATGCTTAATGAAATGCATAAAAAGGTGGGGCTTGTGAGTAGGCCTACTCAATAACTTGTTGATACATTTTAATTCAAGTTTCCATTGGCTCTGAGCGCATCAATTACTGCCAGTGCATTCCATTCTGCCCACATTGTGCTTCATGAAGCCCAGGAATAGGACTACCAGGAATAGAAGGGTTGATGGGCCAATTAATAAAGGACAACTAGTTCCCTGGTGCCTCTCATTTGGAGAGATTATTGAAGAGTTGAGGACAAGGATGAGGACAGATGAATCCCAGGTCACTTCAGAAGACTTAATGCAGGGGTTCTCAAACTTTTTTGGCCTGTGACCCCATTTTGATATTTAAAGAAAAATCTGCAACCCCACCATGTAAAGAAAAGTGATGTAATCAAAGGCTAATGTTTACTTTATTAAATTGGGGCTATGATAGTCTATTACAAATCGGTCTGACAGTACTTAAATCTGAAGGAAGTATGGTTTGAAGTGACTGAAATGCATCAGAAAGGTATTGGGTAGTTCAGAAGATCATCAGGCAATAACTTTGTATGATCTTCTGTGTAGAAAAGAACATAATCGATAATGTCCTTTTCCCCCAGTCTGATTTAGTGCCTTGTCAACTCTTCTAATGAGTCATGCAGGGCTTGTGGGCATTGTAGAGGGAAACAGAGAGTCTTATCTTTCAGTGATGGGGTCATTATATTTAGTAGCTTAAATCTTTCAAAAAAGAGAGCCACATTTGTAAGAAGAAAACAGAAACCGATCTGTTTATTACAACCGCATCTAGCTGCTACCGTCAGTAAGCTCAGGTTCTATGAACCAAGCACCATTTTTTTATTTCAGTTTCTCTCACGACCCCTAGTTTGGGAAACACTGACTTAACGGCATGGCTCAGAAAAACAAAAATGGCGACAAAAATAAAAAAGGGAGGTAATTCCACAATAATAAAAAAAAATGACTTCCAAAGCCAAATAGTTCAACTGCATCAAAAAGTACAAATGCAGTAACAGGCAAAAAGGGTCAAACAAAAAGGGCGACAAAATAAAATGAAAACTCAAACATTATTGAAGCATGCTTTGGACAGGAACCCATGCTTGTCATGATGACACAGTAGCCTGTCAGCAGCCAGCCGAGTCCGATGCCATGAAGTCGAGCAAACAGCCAGGCGTTGCTTCCTCCCCACCCACCATGCCACACAACCAGCACCCAGTGGTGGAGGGGAGAGGGCATGGGCACTGTAGTAGACCTTACCGGGGCTTCTGACCCGTGGCCCTGAGATACACGTCATACAGCAGGGCGGGCAGAGTGTGACTCACTGTGGTCCAGTACTGATTGGTAAAGGGGTTGGACCGCAGGTTAACATTGGGGCGCCTGAAAGCCTGCTCTAAGGGGTTGGTCTTGAAGGTCATGTTTATACAGTACTCTGCAGAGAGAATATGACATCACAGAAGGGAGGACCCCTTTAACAAGGACATTCAATGCCAGAACATGTCGAGGTAACACAGAGAGGGGTAAGAGTGCAGAACCCAGCCCTAATGGTATATGGGTGGCTTATGCACCCTTACCCCCATGACACTGGACAGAAGCATCACATCACAGGTACAGTACACATTGGGCTACACTGAGCGAGACGCGGGGGGAGAGGGGTGTGACCGAGTGGGGCGTCATTTACCTGGGCTCTCTTCCTGTCATCCTGAGGCAGAGATCATATAGGAAGGCTGGTGCCTTGTGGCTTACAGCGATCCAGTACTGATTGATAAGGTGATTGGTTGTGAGATTTACATTGGGCCGTCTGAAGGCCTGCTCGAGGGGGTTCCTCTTGAAAGTGGATATTACATGGTACTCTAAGAGAAAAGGTAGGGGGTTCAACAGGGTGAATTGTTGGCACAACAACTAATTTCTCCAAAGTAGAAAGAAAGATCTAAGCAGCAAGCGTACAACAAAGCAGCAACAAAGCCAGACGTTTGGTTTAGACAAAATATCTTTGAAGTGCTTTTGAACTATTATTATTTTTAACCGTACAAGTTATTGCAGGAGTCTAGGGAGATTACAAAACACCACAAATCTAAACTTCAAAGTAAGCCTAATGAATGGAGAAAAGCAGTGTTAAAAAACAAAGTGATTTCACCTGAAATATTTCAAATCTATGGTAAATGAGTAGCAAATATATTGACTAATAAAACGTTTGACATTTACTACAACAAACGCACCAGGTTAGCATCTTAAAGGGAACTACACAAATGGCACTATGAAAATACCAATCCATCTTCAGTCTACTAAACAAATATTGATCTACGACTGGAACACTTTTTCATTTTCATTCAAGCATATCAGTCACGTTATATAGTTTCACCCATTTCCTTTAAGCATGGCACAATGTTGATCTTTCTCAGATGGCAAGCATTCAGAGAATATGTACACTAAACACAAATCCATGGAGTTAACTAACTCCCCAATGAGGGTGTGAGTAAACCAAAACCTGCTCACACAGTTATAAGAGTGGGTGTGCCCTCAAAAGCATAACTGATAATCATAATTTATCATTCTGCTTTGTTAGAGAACAAATACAGCCTGAGTATATTTGGATAAGATAGGAGAAGCGTTTCATACCAACTTCACCCCAGTGGAACGGGTTGATGCCACCCGTCGTGCAATTGTACACCAATATGCTCTTAGGCCTGCAAAGACAAAAACGGGACAAAATAGAAACCGGAAGAATAATCACATTATCATTCGTCCAGCTCCATAGAGGGCAGCTGCAGTATGTGTGTGCGAGACTGACCTGGTGTGTCTCTGGGAGCCGGAGTACCAGGCGGCAGCCAGTGTGGTATTGATGACCACATCCACAGGCACCAGGTCAGCCACCGCGTTGTTGGACGCTCTCATGGTGCGCAGGATCCCCTTTCCTGCCTATATAGGGCAGAGAAGTGTCAGGTTCATTACCAGGTCATAGGAAAGTGGTATCTCAGGTTATAATGAGTAGCCACAATGTTGACCTGGTCATGATCACATTAGTCCGATCTCTGACCTTTTTACATAGAGAAGAGAACACAGCTCACTTTTTTAAAAGTACTTACTGCAATGAATATTCCACTAGGTCCATTGAAATTATCAATCCAGCCCTAAGAAGAGTGAAAAAACATGTTATGACCAGCATACAGAGTTTATTTACTATGGTCAGTTACAGTAGCTATCGTTTAGAAGATAGCCTGCTCAGTACATGAGAAGACTCACTGGGAAGGGCTCTTTCCAACTGGCCCCTACTATAGAGGGCCTGATGATGGCCACGTTGAGGTTTCCACACTCCTGCTGGACCAGGTACTCAGCCATGGCCTTGGTGTAAGTGTACGTGTTGGGCCTTTTTCCAATCAGCCCTGGGGTCATCGCTGAGACCAGCTTCTCATCCATCCACCTAGCCAACGTGAAAATATATTGAAGACAGGGTTTTTTTCTGGATAACAATTGAGCTTAGGTGGTGGTTGTGGCCAATGGTGCAGTCGCTGACCAACAATTTTAGAGACCCTCTCCTGTTGGCCGGAAAAGCAGCCAACAAGTGCTAAGCATATGTGGGAACTCCTTCAAGACTGTTGGAAAAGCATTCCAGGTGAAGCTAGTTGAGAGAACTGTATATACAGTTGAAGTTGGAAGTTTACATACACCTTAGCCAAATACATTTAAACTCAGCTTTTCACAATTCCTGACATTTAATCCTAGTAAAAATTACCTGTCTTAGGTCAGTTAGGAACACCACTTTATTTTAAGAATGTGAAATGTCAGAATAATAGTAGAGAGAATGATTTATGTCAGCTTTTATTTCTTTCATCACATTCCCAGTGGGTCAGAAGTTTACATACACTCAATTAGTATTTGGTAGCATTGCCTTTAAATTGTTTAACTTGGGTCAAATGTTTCGGGTAGCCTTCCACAAGCTTCCCACAATAAGTTGGGTGAATTTTGGCCCATTCCTCCTGACAGAGCTGGTGTAACGGAGTCAGGTTTGTAGGCCTTCTTGCTTGCACACGCTTTTTCAGTACTGCCCACACATTTTCTATAGGATAGAGGTCAGGGCTTTGTGATGGCCATTCCAATACCTTGACTTTGTTGTTCTTAAGCCATTTTGCCACAACTTTGGAAGTATGCTTGGGGTCATTGTCCATTTGGAAGACCCATTTGCGACCAAGCTTTAACTTCCTGACTGATGTCTTGAGAGGTTGCTTCAATATATCCACATAATTTTCCTTCCTCATGATGCCATCTATTTTGTGAAGTGCACCAGTCCCTCCTGCAGCAAAGCACCCCCACAGCATGATGCTGCCACCCCCGTGCTTCACGGTTGGGATGGTGTTCTTCGGCTTGCAAGCGACCCCCTTTTTCCTCCAAACATAACGATGGTCATAATGGCCAAACAGTTCTATTTTTGTTTCATCAGACTAGAGGACATTTCTCCAAAAAGTACGATCTTTGTCCCCATGTGCAGTTGCAAACCGTAGTATGGCTTTTTATGGCGGTGTTGGAGCAGTGGCTTCTTCCTTGCTGAGCGGCCTTTCAGGTAATGTCGATATAGGACTCGTTTTACTGTGGATATAGATACTTTTGTACCTGTTTCCTCCAGCATCTTCACAAGGTCCTTTGCTGTTGTTCTGGGATTGATTTGCACTTTTCGCACCAAAGTACGTTCATCTCTAGGAGACAGAACTCGTCTCCTTCCTGAGCGGTATGACGGCTGCGTGGTCCCATGGTGTTTATACTTGCGTACTATTGTTTGTACAGATGAACGTGGTACCTTCAGGCGTTTGGAAATTACTCCCAAGGATGAACCAGACATGTGGAGGTCTAAAATCTTTTTTCTGAGGTCTTGGCTGATTTCATTTGATTTTCCCATGATGTCAAGCAAAGAGGCACTGAGTTTGAAGGAAGGCCTTGAAATACATCCACAGGTACACCTCCAATTGACCCAAATGATGTCAGTTAGCCTATCAGAAGCTTCTAAAGCCATGACAGAATTTTCCAGAATTTTCCAAGCTGTTTAAAGGCACAGTCAACTTAGTGTATGTAAACTTCTGACCCACTGGAATTGTGATACAGTGAATTATAAGTGAAATAATCTGTCTGTAAACAATTGTTGGAAAAATTACTTGTGTCATGCACAAAGTAGATGTCCTAACCGACTTGCAAAAACTATAGTTTGTTAACAAGAAATTTGTGGAGCGGTTGAAAAAACGAGTTATAATGACTCCAACCTAAGTGTATGTAAACTTCCCACTTCAACTGTATACACACACTTTATGTAGAAAAAACCCTGGAAGACATATCCACACAAAAGGTCAGTTATATTGCTCAATTTTTTTATCTGACCATGACCAAACACACATTTCAAAGATTAACTTTCTTTAAATTGCCCCACCCACATGTAAATCTCTGAAGAGATTCTCACATCCCTTTTGTAATCCATAGGGGTGGAAACATTACTACTTGAACGGAAACTTTTACACAACTGGTGACCGTTTTGTCCATGGGTGACATATTGCGCCACCTTCAATAGAAGTCAGAAGTCCCACCTAACATTTAGAGTAAAGCAAATGTCCTTATTAAATAGTTCACAAATTAGTGCCGTTCAAATGAGTGCCATTCAATCAGTAACCAAACTGCATCACGTTTCATTCAGAAACCCTCCCTGTTTTGGCACAAAGTTTCAGTCCATGCAGTGATAGAGACCCACTTGAGGAATACCAAGCTTATGAATTAGCCACTACAAACAACTAATCTATGATTTCCATTTCCTCTTAGTCAAACATGGCAATCTGTAAATTACTATAATCTCTTGGTATGTAGTATTATTGACATTCATTTTAATAATCCCAAATGGCTTCAGTTTCTATCAATCTGCAAATAACTTCAGGGTAACAAGTCTGCAATGGGAAGTGTTATGCAAAACAAGTCAAATTTTTGGGACTCACTCCAGGCTGTCGATGAGCTTCTTGTAGTCAACAGGAGGTGGATAAACCACTTCCTCAATGAGTGTCCGGTCACAGTTGGCGTAGGCTGTGGACACATGAAGGAACACCTCCAAGTGCTTCATTCTGTGGGCCAGAGCCACCATCTTCTGGGTGGCTAGAACATTGAGCTGCATAGCATCTCTGAGAAGGAAGAAAATGTCACAACACTTATTTATCACAGAAAATGAAAATATTAAAAACCAACAGTCAGGTACACAAGAATGGTTAGTAATAATTCTAGAACGATAACCTACACTTTAAGTATTAAAAGGAAGTGAGTCTTTCATCTGCAGGCGAAGCAAGTGACAAGATCACTCTGTAGAAAAATCTGAACTTGCAGAATTGTCCAGCAAAGCTCTGGGGAGCAGCATTAGAAGAGAAACAATGGCTCACTTGAGAGGCTCGTTGAATCGGATGGTTGCAGCACAGTGGAAGACTACGTTGATGCAGTCAGCAAGTGTTTCCTGGTCCTCTTTGCTCAGGTCCAGCTCTGGCAGGGTGAGGTCACTGTTAACAGCCACTATCTTTTCAGCAAAGTCTGGCTGCTCATCTCGTACCCTGTCAAAAAGCTTAAATACAAATACAGTTGCATTAGAGTTGGTAAAAAAATATAATACTCCATCAAGCTACTTTCACTGCCAATAAGTGTATCAAAATTAGCCTACTCAATGTTTTTTCATGACAGCAATGTGTTGGTGGAGTGATGCGTTTTGGTTTGAAAGCACTCCAAGAAAGCAATCCCTTTAGTAAGACTACGTCACTGGGGCCAAGCTCCCTGCCATCCAGGACCTCCATATCAGGCGGTGTGAAAGGAAGGCCCGGAAAATCGTTTAAGACTCCAACCACCCAAGCCATAGACTGTTCTCTCCACTTCCGCACGGCATGCGGTACCGGTGCATCAAGTCTGACACCAAGAGGCTACTGAACAACTTATATTCCCATGCCATAAGACTGCTAAATAGCTAACAAAATGGCTACATGGACTGAGTTGACCTTAGTATGTTATTCTTATTTTAGCACTCTCTATGCACACTCACAGGGTCCTACACACACTGACACGTCAATACACACAAACACTCCCTCCATTATTTGCTCACACACACATATGTACAAACATTTATACTGACTACACACGCACACACACCCACTCACATACAACCATCATATACGCTGCTGCTACTCTGTTTATCATATATCCTGATGCCTATTCACCTTACCCCTATACATATCTAACTACCACTCCAGTATCCCTGCACATTGTAGATATGGTACTGGAACTGACCCTGTATATAGTATGCTTACTTACTTTATTTTGAACTTTGTGTGTTTTTCTTCTACCTTGTTATTTTTAGTGTTACATTGTTATTGATTACTGCATTGTTGGGTTTAGAGCTTGCAAGAAAGGCATTTCACTGTACTTGTGCGTGTGACATTAAAACATCATGGTCTGTCATGGCCCAATTATAAATACATTATGGAGAGTGTGGGCTCTGGAACTACTATGTCTCCAGTAACAACCAGTCAAGAACTTATGATCCATCACCCCACACAGCCTAAAGAGATCCCCTTTTGGCTAGCCCCACTAAAAACATTCCCTTTTGGCTAGCCCCATTAGACCTTTACCCTTCACCAGCTCTGCTCACCTTGCAGTTGATCATGTCTGCGATGCGGACCTGGGGAGCGTGCCCCGATTTGTGCCGGACCAGAACGTACACGGCTTTGATTCCAGGGCAAGACCGCAGCAGCTTCTCCAGCAGGACCTTTCCCATGAAGCCTGTTGCCCCTGTGATAAGCACATTCTTCCCCTCATAGTACTCTGGAATGGTCACCATTTTGTCTGTGTGCTCCAACCCTCCTCAACCTGTGGAAGGATTACATCATCGTTAGCATAGATATTGAAGAACCTATTGACTACCGTGACGGAATTTCACCAGTAACACCGACCCCAGTTAAGAGCCAAAAACTCCCCTTCCCATCTACAAAATTCGCCCATATCACATACAGGAGCCAACATGCTGTATCTTATTTCAGCCTTTCCAACATTGTAAGTTACTCTTATCCCGTCTAATCCACACACTGCCATTAAGATGGGTGACGGGCTCAAGAGCTTTACTTAAAGGGTAACTCTCAACTCCAATTTCAGCCTTTGCCTAACCCTTAAAAGAAAAAAACATATACAGTACCAGTCAAAAGTTTGGACACACCTACTCATTAAATGTCCTCTTTATATGTTTACTATTTTCTACATTGTAGAATAATAGTGAAGACAAAACTATGAAATAACACATATGGAATTATGAAGTAACCCAAAAAGTGTTAAACAAATCAAAATATATTTTATATTTGGGATTCTTCAAAATAGCCACCATTTGCCTTGACAGCTTTGCACACTCTTGGCATTCTCTCAACCAGCTTCACCTGGAATGCTTTTCCAACAGTCTTGAAGGAGTTCCCACATATGCTGAGCACTTATTGGCTGATTTTCCTTCACTCTGCGGTCCAACTCATCCCAAACCATCTCAATTGGGTTGAGGTCGGGTGATTGTGGAGGCCAGGTCATCTGATGCATCACTCCATCACTCTCTTCTTGGTCAAATAGCCCTTACACAGCCTAGGAGGTGTGTTTGGTCATGGTCTTGTTGAAAAACAAATTATAGTCCCACTAAGTGCAAACCAGATGGGATGGCATATTGCTGCAGAATGCTGTGGTAGCCATGCTGGTTAAGTGTGCCTTGATTTCCAAATAAATCACTGACAGAGTCACCAGCAAAGCAACCCCACACCATCACACCTCCTCCTCCATGCTTTATGGTGGGAACCACACATGCGCAGATCATCCGTTCAGCTACTATGCATCTCACAAGGACACGGTGGTTGGAACCAAAAACCTCACATTTGGACTCAGGACCAAAGGACACATTTCCACCAGTCTAATGTCCACTGAAATTTCCCGGATTGACTGACCATCTCTTAAAGTAATGATGGACTGCTGTTTCGCTTTGCTTATTTGAGCTGTTCTTGCCATAATATGGACTTGGAATTTTACCAAATAGGGCTTTCTTCTGTATACCACCCCTACCTTTTTACAACACAAATAAATAACTCCACAAATTAACTTTTAGCAAGGCACACCTGTTAATTGAAATACATTCCAGGTGACTACCTCATGAAGCTAGTTGAGAGAATGCTAAGAGTGTGCAAAGCGGTCATCAAGGCAAAGGGTGGCTATTTGAAGAATCTCAAATATAAAATATATTTTGATTTGTTTAACACTTTTTTTGTTACTACATGATTCAATATGTGTAATTTCATAGTTTTGATGTCTTCCCTATTATTCTAAACTCAGCAAAAAATGAAACGTCCCTTGTTCAGGACCCTGTCTTTCAAAGGCAATTTGTAAAAATCCAAATAACTTAACAGATCTTCATTGTAAAGGGTTTAAACACTGTTTCCCATGCTTGTTCAATGAACCATAAAACAATTAATGAACATGTACCTGTGGAATGGTCGCTAAGACACTAACAGCTTACAGACGGTAGGCAATTAAGGTCACAGTTAAGAAAACTTAGACTCTGAAAAACACCAAAAGAAAAGATGCCCAGGGTCCCTGCAGACGTGGCCAGGGCAATAAATTGCAATGTCCGTACTGTGAGACGCCTAAGACAGCGCAACAGGAAGACATGACAGACAGCTGATCGTCCTCGCAGTGGCAGACCATGTGTAACAACACCTGCACAGGATTGGTACATCTGAACATCACACCTGCGGGACAGGTACAGGATGGCAACAACAACTGCCTGAGTTACACCAGGTACGCACAATCCCTCCATCAGTGCTCAGACTGTCCGCAATAGGCTGAGAGAGGCTGGACTGAGGGCTTAATAAGCCTGTTGTAAGGCAGGTCCTCACCAGACATCACCGGCAACAACGTTGCCTATGGGCACAAACCCACCATCGCTGGACCAGACAGGACTGGCAAAAAGTGCTCTTCACTGACGAGTCGCGGTTTTGTCTCACCAGGGGTAATGGTCGGATTCGCATTTATCGTCAAAGGAATGAGCGTTACACCGAGGCCTGTACTCTGGAGCGGGATCGATTTGGAGGTGGAGGGTCTGTCATGGTCTGGGGCGGTGTGACACAGCATCATCGGACTGAGCTTGTTATCATTGCAGGCAATCTCAACGCTGTGCGTTACAGGGAAGACATCCTCCTCCCTCATGTGGTACCCTTCCTGCAGGCTCATCCTGACATGACACTCCAGCATGACAATGCCACCAGCCATATCGCTCGCTCTGTGCATGATTTCCTGCAAGACAGGAATGACAGTGTTCTCCCATGGCCAGCGAAGAGCCCGGATCTCAATCCCATTGAGCATGTCTGGGACCTGTTGGATCGGAGGGTGAGGGCTAGGGCCATTCCCCCCAGAAATGTCTGGGAACTTGCAGGTGTCTTGGTGGAAGAGTGGGGTAACATCTCACAGCAAGAACTGGCAAATCTGGTGCAGTCCATGAGGAGGAGATGCACTGCAGTACATAATGTTGGCCACACCAGATACTGACTGTTACTTTTGATTTTGACCCCCCCTTTGTTCAGGGACACATTATTCCATTTCATTTCTGTTAGTCACATGTTTGTGGAACTTGTTCAGTTTATGTCTCAGTTGTTGAATCTTGTTATGTTCATACAAATATTTACACGTTAAGTTTGCTGAAAATAAACGCAGTTGACAGTGAGAGGACGTTTCTTTTTTTGCTGAGTTTACAATGTAGAAAATAGTACAAATGAAGCAAAACCCTGGAATAAAAAGGTGTGTGCAAACTTTTGACAGTTACTGTATGTAACTCCACTATGGCCAAGACCAAAGAGCTGTCAAAGGACACCAGAAACAAAATTGTAGACCTGCACCAGGCTGGGAAGACTGAATCTGCAATAGGTAAGCAGCTTGGTTTGAAGAAATCAACTGTGGGAGCAATTATTAGGAAATGGAAGACATACAAGACCACTGATAATCTCCCTCGATCTGGGGCTCCACGCAAGATCTCACCCCGTGGGGTCAAAATGATCACAAGAACGGTGAGCAAAAATCCCAGAACCACACGGGGGGACCTAGTGAATGACCTGCAGAGAGCTGGGACCAAAGTAACAAAGCCTACCATCAGTAACACAATACGCCGCCAGGGACTCAAATCCTGCAGTGCCAGACGTGTCCCCCTGCTTAAGCCAGTACATGTCCAGGCCCGTCTGAAGTTTGCTAGAGTGCATTTGGATGATCCAGAAGAGGATTGGGAGAATGTCATATGATCAGATGAAACCAAAATATAACTTTTTGGTAAAAACTCAACTCGTCGTGTTTGGAGGACAAAGAATGCTGAGTTGCATCCAAAGAACACCATACCTACTGTGAAGCATGGGGGTGGAAACATCATGCTTTGGGTCTGTTTTTCTGCAAAGGGACCAGGACGACTGATCCGTGTAAAGGAACGAATGAATGGGGCCATGTATCGTGAGATTTTGAGTGAAAACCTCCTTCCATCAGCAAGGGCAATGAAGATGAAACGAGGCTGGGTCTTTCAGCATGACAATGATCCCAAACACACCGCCCGGGCAACGAAGGAGTGGCTTCATAAGAAGCATTTCAAGGTCCTGGAGTGGCCTAGCCAGTCTCCAGATCTCAACCGCATAGAAAATCTTTGTTGAAAGGGAGTTGAAAGTCTGTGTTGCCCAGCGACAGCCCCAAAACATCACTGCTCTAGAGGAGATCTGCATGGAGGAATGGGCCAAAATACCAGCAACGGTGTGTGAAAACCTTGTGAAGACTTACAGAAAACATTTGACCTGTGTCATTGCCAACAAAGGGTATATAACAAAGTATTGAGAAACTTTTGTTATTGACCAAATACTTATTTTCCACCATAATTTGCAAATAAATTCATTAAAAATCCTACAATGTGATTTTCTGGAGAAAAAAAATCTCATTTTGTCTGTCATAGTTGACGTGTACCCATGATGAAAATTACAGGCCTCTCATCTTTTTAAGTGGGAGAACTTGCACAATTGGTGGCTGACTAAATACTTTTTTCCCCCACTGTATGTATGTATGTATGTATGTATGTATGTATGTATGTATGTATAGTTGAAGTCGGAAGTTTACATACACTTAGGTTGGAGTCATTCAAACTCATTTTTCAACCACTCCACACATTTCTTGTTAACAAACTATAGTTTTGGCAAGTCGGTAAGGACATCTACTTTGTGCATGACATGTAATTTTTCCAACAATTGTTTACAGACAGATTATTTCACTTATAATTCACTGTATCACAATTCCAGTGGGTCAGAAGTTTACATACACTAAGTTGACTGTGCCTTTAAACAGCTTGGAAAATTCCAGAAAATGATGTCATGGCTTTAGAAGCTTCCAATAGGCTAACAGACATCATTTGGGTCAATTGGAAGTGTACCCGTGGATGTATTTGTGGTCCTCTGTAGCTCAATTGGTAGAGCATGGCGCTTGTAACGCCAGGGTAGTAGGTTCGATCCCCGGGACCACCCATACATAAAAATGTATGCACACATGACTAAGTCGCTTTCGATAAAAGCGTCTGCTAAATGGCATATTATTATTCTTCTTATTTATTTCAAGGCCTACCTTCAAACTCAGTGCCTCTTTGCTTGACATCATGGGAAAATCAAATGAAATCAGCCAAGACCTCCGAAAAAGAATTGTAGACCTCCACAAGTCTGGTTCATCCTTGGGAGCAATTTCCAAACGCATGAAGGTACCACGTTCATCTGTACAAACAATAGTACACAAGTATAAACACCATGGGACCACGCAGCCATCATACCACTCAGGAAGGAGACGCGTTCTGTCTCCTACAGATGAACGTACGTTGGTGCGAAAAGTGCAAATCAATCCCAGAACAACAGCAAAGGACCTTG